CGTTAAACGTCATGTCTTACTATCAACATATATCTATATATATTATTTATTTAAAACGGTTTTGTGTTATATTTTCATAAAAAGGATCCATTTAAATACAGTTTAATAGCTTTTAATGATTGTACGGGATTGTAAATGTATAGAAAACTTGTTTTAATTCGAAAATGTGAAGAAATTCCGACTGATGTAGGAACATACTTGTACTTGTTTATTATTATTATTATTAGTATTACAGTCGCTATCGTGAGAACACTACAAAAGTTCCCATAACATAGCACCAAGGTCCTTTTTAAATTGGTTATTTGGAGTCATGTAAATAGGTGAATGTCTTTTTTGTACTGCAAAAATTATTACCAAAGAACTGTTTAACCAAGTGGATTCGGACCACTACTAAAATTTAAAAATCTACGGCAATTTTAATACTGACAGGTAGAAAGACATGATTGAAAACCAAAATTTTAATATTTTTTAATAATTATACTAGCTAAACTACATCGGTACATTAAATAATAGTGGTAGATTTACTAGCGCTTATTGTTTTGATTCTTTGGTTTTATAATTTCTTCTTTATGTTATTAAACTAAAGAAAAGAGGAGAATTAGGTAAAGGATTTGATAGTCTTTAATCTGCAAAAACTTCCATTGACTCTACAAAACTTTTTAATATTATTTTTAACAGTTTCAGTACATAAGCGCATCTGTGGCATTATTCCAGTCACAGCTTCATCATCAGCAGCATAGTTATGGGGAGTCTGGTGTAATATTGTGAATAGAGACGACGTCACTTTAAATATTGTATTACACTTTGAGTGTTTTTTGATACACCTCCACACTTCAGAGCCGTCTTTGTTTTTTCTTTTCCAAATGTAATTGTATCCATCCCAACACAGCCTACGTCCACCTCTTTGGGTACTTTGGAACTCCACGTCACCAATATTTGAAGAATGTTCAGACATATAACTTAGTATTGACGCTGACTCTAAAAGTATTTAAAAATTTGTTATAGTTCAGCAGTTAATTGTATAAATATATATACTATGAACTACTTAAAGTTAGTCAAAGTATTTATTATTACTTGTTAATTTAAAATAAATATGGTTTGAGTAAAGACTATACATATAGACATATAGAGGTGTACATTATATTATACATATGTATGTATATTTTATTATTTACTATTTTAGTTTGCATCATGATACTTAAAGTCCTTCCTAATTTGACCGCACAACTCTTAAAGTTATGTAGATTTTAAATCTATATTTAGTTAATTGTTAAGATTACATTTTCCAATAAATGCTGCACGCTATTCTTATTTACTAACAATTCTCATACTAGCGATTGAGACTCTCAAAGAAAAGATCAAGTATAATAGTGATCAAATAACAATTTTGCTAGTGATAATTTTAACCTTGACCTTGAGTAAATTAATTTTGACCTTAAATAACTTTTTTAGTACACATAGGATAGATGGGGACTTTTAGCACTTTATTTGTACTAGTGTACCCAAGGTCTCTAGCAGAATTCAGCTCTGTCAGAGTTTTTGTTATTTGAAATGTCTATTTTGCGTAATGACCGCCGATTTGTTGTGAAAACTGCATATATTCAGATCGTGATAAACTTTCGCAGATGATATTTTTACATTTAGATAATAGACATATTCAAAATCTATGCTTTTTTATTTGTGTTAACAAACAAAAGTTGGCAACATTTGATGGGTCATTCTACAAAAGTAAGGTGATTTATGAACTTAAGTTGTGATAATAATAATTACCTATATCTTAAAATAAAATCTATTTATGGTACATATTTAAATCATTGTACCATAATTAAAGAGGCCAGTCACTTAATATAGTATTTTACAAGAAATTTAAGGTTTTACTAATTGAGGCGTCTAGGGTCTGACGAAAAAGCTTACTACCATACAATTTAGGTAGCTGGGACTGACAAGTACAACTAGGGACTGATGACAATGCTAAATACTGTAAGAAAACTATCATATACGCAAAGTTTCTTATTTATTTGCTATCACAAATGTTATGGCATTCACAGTAAATCACAATAACTAAGTTTTTAAAACAACATCAGTATTTATTTATAAAATACTGATGTTGTTTTAAAAACTTAGTTATTGATTGATTATTAAATATTCAGTCTCAAGTAAAGTCTACAAATCAGTAATTAACAAATAGTAAAACAAAGTAACTCACAAAGATATAACTTGTAAATTAAGTACCAACTAATCAAACTCTTCTTTGTACAGATTAGAACTAAGCACAGCTTGTACTATGGGTATTAAGACAACTGATATAAAAACATAAATACTTTTTTTTAAAGTACATACATATTATACATAGAAACACCCAGACCAAATCAAACATTGAAAGTTCATGCACACAAATGTTGGACTTGAGCGGGAATCGAACCCGCGACCTTTGGAATAGCAGTCCCTTACACATACCACAACGCCATAATGACTCATTAAGTATTTTAAATAAAATAGAATTATCACTTCTCAATAACATTAACAGCTTTCTTAAATTTTTAAAATACTCTATTACCTTTTACAATCAAATTAGGAATTGGCAGATTTTTTATTACATCCTCAAAAGGCACACCTGCCACATCATTTTCGTCTATTTTAAACAAGAAACCTTTAAGGTAATTCTCCTTCTTCAACATCATAACTTAAACAAATTGCAGCATAACGATATTTTTAACTTTTCTTTTTTTTTAGCTTCACTAGTACGTAATCACCACTACCATATTTCACTTTCTACTTATGTTTACAATTCTGACTAGGGCCGCCTTGCACTATATGTTCAACATCCCTTATTTTTTGTGTAGGTGCCATCTCATCTTCAAAATTAGTAAAAACATCAGATACTTTTAGGCAATCTGGTTTGATATTGTATTCTAGACTGCCCAATTTACAGTGTTCCCAAACTTTGTTACAAAAATAACTAAGTGATTTTAGGATAAGTTCATTTGGACTAACACACACCGCCCGTTACTTGATGCACTAGAAGCGTCCCTTTAAAACTTTGCATATCTTTTTCATGCTCTTTAATTAAATTACTCATAATTGCGATATCTTCATCCTCAATTATAGAAATCTTAATTCCTGGTCAATTTTTATGCAAGATATCAACGAACTCATTTAAACCGTCTGGCGCTCCATTTTCGTGACCTGTCTCATGATTATTCCATTAAAATGACGTGTTAGGATACCAATCTTGAAGTTTACATATTTCTTTTGTTGAGTGTTAAACTTCTTTTTTAACTCGGTGATTTCCGAAAGCTTTTTCTTTAATAATATATTTCTAGACTTTCGTTGGCGAACATAAGAATTGTGAAAATACAGCCTTGGCCAAAAGTATTATGCACCCCAGAAAAATGCACAATTCATGTTTACTGATTGAACAATTAATAAATGCTTATCTTAGATGGCATGCCGGGGTCACAAATAACTTCCTAGAAAAGCAAGCAGCTATCTGTTATGGTCATAAAACACCTGGTGACTGAAAACAAAGGATTTGTTTTTATGCGTTCTTATCAGTCAATGTTTGGTCACTTGTGTTCAGGACTCTAACGAGTAAACAAGCTTTTATTTCTAACATAGTGATTAAATTGACACGTAATTTATTTAAAAATGCCGAAAAGAAGTGAAATTAGTTTGGAAAACCGAGTAAAAATACAACTTTTCCGTGAACATCGGAAGTCGCAAAAAGAAATTGCTAAGTTAGTGAAATGTTGCATGCAATCTGCTATCAAACGGTTTGCTGAGACTGGCAGTCACGCTAATAAACCAAGAACAGGCAGAAAACGTGTGACTTCGAAGCGCGAGGATAGAAAATTAATACGCTAATCTATGAAAGATCGGAAGAAAACATCATCAGAGCTTCCTGCTACTTTGTCCGAAGAGGCTGGAAAGCCAATAAGTGCTCGGACCACCAGAAGATTTGGAGAAGCAGGCTTAAAAGGATGCAAAGCCAGGAAGAAGGGCTTTCAGAAGCTAACAAAAGAAAACGACTTGAATGGGCTCTACGGCATCAACATTTTACTGAGGAAGATTGGGCCAATGTGGTATGGTCTGACGAATCTAACTTTGAAGTAAGTAAATTTTACTGCTTTTGTTATTAATATGGACAGTTATTTATTTAACTAAAATAATAAAACTTAAGGCAGTTTAAAAAAAAGTGTTTTTTTTTCTTTTTTCAACAGTTATTTGGAACGCCAGGTGTGACCTTCGTGAGGTGACGTGTGGGCGAAGAATACCATCCAGATTGCGTCGTACCGACAGTAAAGCATGGAGGAGGCAGCACAATGATCTGGGGCTGCATGGCTACTGATGGGGTTGGCGAAATGTTTGTTTGCGAAGGTCGTATGGACAGCGAAAAGTACATAAAAGTGCTTGAAACTACGCTAACGAGTATTTTCGGCGATACCAACTTAAAGGGAGTTATATTCCAGCAAGACAATGCACCTTGTCATAAGTCAGCGACTACGATGCGTTGGTTTACTAAAAACAACATTGACTTGTTTGATTGGCCAGCGCAGTCACCAGATTTTAACCCAATTATGTTAATATCTTTGGAGCATTTTGAAACGCAAGATTAAAGAGCATAGTATCACATCGAAAACGGCATTAAAAAATGCGTTAGTACAAAAATATCATGCCATTACAAGGGAGGATTGTACTAAGCTTGTACGCAGCATGCCAGCTAGAATTAGTGCAGTAATTAAATCCAAAGGTGGATCGACTAGATTTTAAGTTTTTTTCATTCCTTTTGGTGAAATTTAATGGTAATAAATAAATTCAAAAAGTATAAGTTGTTTTTTTCCTTTATTTTAAGTAAAATGTAGGGTGCCTAATACTTTTGGCCAAGCCTGTATATATTATTTTCTTCTATTAATACTTTCTTATATCACAACTTGCAAATTTCGGTTTTTGATATCGTTGTTCAAAGATTTTTTAGGTTCATTTTTCTTGGAATTTTGTCATTAGATGATGGCGTGATTATTGCCGGCTTGATTAACTTTTTGGTTTAGTCTATAATCAGATGAGTACTTCTTCCATTTTTTTCTAATCTTTCTTTGTTCTCTTGGAGTCATATCTTTAATACAATTTCGCTGTCCTTTTTCTTTCTTTTTCAGATATTTCAATCTTTCTAGCTTTTTGTGTTGAGATAGTAAAACAGGATCACTTTTAATCTTCATTAATCGAGCTTTTGCAGCAATTGACTTCTTTAAGGCTATTTCTTCTTTAGACAATTTTGGCTTATTTTTAGACGACGGCATGTCTAAAACACAAAATTAATTATCAATTATAGGCACAATGCTATAACAAACAAAAGTACTCTGACTTAAACTATAAGTTAGAAGTACTAACTCATCGGTCCCTGGCTTCTCCGTCAGTCTCTACGCATATTCATAGCAAGGGACTGACGCACTAGGGACTGATGATTTTAATAAACATAAGAATACACCAACTTATTTCTAACTAGCTCTACATCTATCATTTTCTATTGAAACGGATTAAAAATAAATTATTAACACTTAATAATAATGTTCGATGATGATGTCGGTTGTATACAAGTTTTTATATTTTTAAATGAAATTTATATTTATTTATTTTTGTAATACTTATATTTAGAAATGTAATCAATATGCATATATAATGTAATAATGAAATTTTTACACATTTTACACACAGAGCAGAGAGAGCAGCAGAGCCTGTACTATTTTAACCAGACTGCTGGTAAACATACTTATATATTTTTAAATACATACATATTATAGATAAAGTACACCCAGACACAGAACAAATGACCGTGCTCATCACACAATTACTTATCTTGGGGTGGGAATCGAACCCACGATCTGTGGCTAGCAGTCAGGGTCAGTAACCTCTAGACCAACAAGCTAGTAAATACAAATAAATTATAATTATCAAAAGTAAAACTAATAACTATTATATTTTTTTATAAAATTACTTACCTAGGGCCTGACGCAATGACTGAGAAAACACGTGCACACGAAACAATGTGCAAATGTCCAACATTCGTATTTTTTTTTGCTGCCAACTTCATGATGGCCAACTTATCGTTTATTCTGTGCGACACTCATTTAGCGCGAAATTTTATATTTTGTTAGCGACTAGGGCCTGATGCTTTAAGTTGTGGACAATACATTGGCTTAGGATTTTCAAATATCTTTACTGAAAAATCAATGAAACTTTGATAATAGATGAATTATATTGTGTTTCTTAGTTTTATTAACGTTTCATCAAATACTAAAACTTGATGCATGGAAAAGGCTAGGGACTGACCTTTGTATCGTATAAGGCAGGATATAAAAATACAAAAAAAATACTTTTTTGAAATTTATACAAGAATATAATATAAAGAAACACATTTATTCAGCTCCATTAACATTATTATTAATACAATTGATTTAATATTTAGCGAAAAGTTCTAAAGACATAAAAATACTCCAACATTTAGGAAATCACACAAAGCCACGTTTCGGCATTAATGGCCGCCCCATTCTGTGAGTGAGTGAGTCCCTAGACCAATCGGAATTTTATTTAAAATAAGTATAAAATAATATAGTTTATTATTTATGTTGGGACTAAATCCATTTGAAACTAGCTTTACACGCTTATATTTACTTCTTTTAATACAGTAGAACATTATCGTGTCACGTACTTCGTAAAAAGTAAATCTATTTATCATTAATTACGGTTTTCCTTTTTGAGATTTAACGAAAGTGTACTTTAATCCTGTAGAAAAATTAAAATATCGTTAGGTGTACAATACAATCTTAGTACCGCTACCTCTAGCCACGTTAACAATTACACATCGTCTGATTAAGTTCGCAGTAGCACGCAGAGGAAAAAGTTATAAAAAGACATCTTAATGTTTAAAAAGCGCACAAACAGAGAATTTAATAAGTTGAATTTAGAAAAGCGATGGTAAGTAGGTTATGTACTGAATGTTGAATGTGAGAAAGTTTAAAACTGCCTCGTAAGTATTGTTGGTTCCTAGTTCATTCGCTATTTGTACTTTCAAAAGTACACAGTTACATATATACTATGCTTAATTATAGATGTCTTTAAAACAACATTTTAAACTTGATATTACAGTCGCATGTTTGCTTACAAATGTTACGATCTCACACCTAGAAAATAACATAAAGTGTCTCGTGTCAACCCTACATGCACCTATGAAGCTAATGTATGCACTTGTACCGATAAACAGTATATGATATCAATCCGCCAAAGAAATGACTTTACCGAACACACCTAAGATTTAAAATACAAAAATATTCGTTCAGGTACTCAATAAAATTAAAAATGTGTTTATAACATTGATAAAAGTCAGGAGTGCATTTAAATTAGGTGCCATTTTCGCAATGCAGAAAATCTAGGGGGCTCTTTTTTCAATTGTCAAGAGACGTAACTATTATCATAATTTTAATGCTTCAAATGCATGGTTAGGATAATTAATTTTCAAATTTATTTACAATAGGTTTAGAGCTTTACTCGTAAGCGAATCAATAACAAACATCCATATATCCACAATATTAGGTCTAAAACTTAAATCGACAGAACAACACTTTAAACACTTAGATTTAGCATTATAAACATTTACAAAAATAATTAATACTAGAATTATACAGATTTCATGCTTATATATAATACTTACTATAATTTATAAGATTTAAACAAAGATTGTGCACGCGAAGTATATAAGGTTGAGTCTCATGTCACGAAAGAAAACTTTAATTGCCAACAAAATAGAAACAAAATAGAATCTTGGGTCCAGAGAGGGATAAGTCCTCTAAGTCTAGGGAGGCACTGCCACTTTGCCTTAAGCTATTTTTTTTTGACACGACTGTAGGTATATTATTTGATATAATTTTAGAATATAAAAGTACTAAATATAAGAAAAACCACATAAGGTATCATAGAAACAACTTCAAATTCATCCACATGTTTTATAAATACCTAATACATATAATCAGAAACATATCCTTAACTAAAATACATAATGCTACATAAAAAAAATTGACAAATCTCAAGGTATTTTACATAATATTCACATTACATTTACACAAATATGTACTTATAAACACACAAATATAGTAAGATGGTATTAATTATATACAATCAATCAATGGTGCTTATAACTAGCTAAAGTGTAACCTACCTTATACCTAATAGTGTTTTATTTATTGAAACTTAAACTTAAAACTCGACTGTGTGCAATGATAAGTACTTAAAATTTACAAAGATTTAAATGTTTTATAAATTTTATTTTTAATACTCATTCTCATAATCCATCAAGTCGTTTAGACTACAGATCGTGTTAAAGAAATATACATACATACACTCGAAAAACATCCAGTCGTCGGATGAAAAGTATTTTATTTTTACTGTACTTTAATATATTGTCCAGTTTCCGTTATGAAGTAACTAGGAGGTTCATGAGTATGTGGACATCCAACGTCTTCTATGTAACCGTCTTTATGCAACTTAACAGTCGCCTTGCATCCGTTGAATCTCTGAGTGCAGTAGTACCTGCTTGTCTTATGGTTTTGATTATACGTATATTTTCTCCACATAAGTAATTGTTTACCCTTTCGAGAAGTAACAAATCTGTAGTTAATTTCTGAAAAATAAAAAAAATATTAATTATATTTTTTTATTTAAAATAAGAACAGACATCAAAAATAAAACAATTATATAATGCCTCTCGTTTAGTTTTTTTTTTGCGAATAGCCATTGTAGGCTTCTATTGTTCTCGTTAAATGATTTCCTCGTAGGTTCATTCGAGATAAACTCTTACTCACTCAAAACTTACTGTTAACCTCCTACGTGTCTAATTGTTTTCAAATAGATAGCCTTACTTAGTTGTATTTAAAAATCGCAAGACAGATAAAAATAGGTTTCACACGTCGCTGTTATCTCACGATGTTATTGTGTTAAATTAAACCTAATCTGTTCCGACCCGATGGTCTAGTAGTCAGTGACTACCAAGCCAGAGGTTGTAGATTCACCCACCCGGGACAACTAATTATATGATAAGCGTTCTGTGTCCGGGTGTAATTGATTTATAATATGTATATATGTATTTAGAAATATAACTATTTTATTAGTAGTCTGGTACCCATAGTACCGTCTCTGTCGAGTATGGGTTCAAACGGCCTTGTGTGAGGTATTACAAGTTATTTTTATTATTTGCAGCTTGGCTTGTAAGACATGGTAAATTAAAAACAGTGGTTAGAGGAAAAAGACACATAAATAACACTAACATTATTAAGAATTAAGTATTGTTATTCAAAGTAATATCACAAAAGTGTCTGAATAAATACTTATTAAAATATCACATAGGTTCATGAGCTAATAAAACATATCACCAAACGCATAGACAAAACTAAAAACATGTGTTACAACACTACTAATGACACTTAATACTCCGTAAATAACGGTTCACCATTGATAGTGTTCTTGATAACCCTTCCAAGATCGAGAATCGGTGACAAAGGTGTCTCAAGTATCGGTTGATCTCTGATTGTCTGAAATTAGGCTGTTGATGATTGATGATGATGACTGGAATAATTTGATACTTTTGTCATAAAACAAAAGGTTGTGGTAATTTTAATTTAAACAAGTCATTGTGTGAATTCAAGTGAATTAAATATCTATGACAAGTCATTCTTTTGTAAATAAAGCATAATATGCTTCTTTACATATTACAAAGTATAAAATTAAATCACTTTTTTTTCTTGTACGTTTAGATCTTTTGAACTACGCAAGGGCTTTTAATGTAATTTTCACCAATAGAGAGGATGATTCAAGAGGCGGGTTTTTTATACATATAAACCTGCCTCTTGAATCACCCTCTTACATGCATATTATAGTAGGTAGAGGAATAGAAAATATTTTATATATTATCAGACTATAGTCATCAGTGATTGGAACGAAATAACGACCGCAATATTTAAAAAAATAGAATATTAAATGTATACATGTTCACACGCTAGTATGTTAATTATAGACAATACGGTTTCATTCACATATTTCGAAGATTCTGGATAAATTTTGGACCCGACCGGGACTTGATAAAGTCAAGGGGTGAAATGATTTGCCGCGTTTGTGTCGGGTTGAAAAAGTTTCTGACTGTGTAGAACCCAATACTAGTCGGACACGTGAGCCACGATAGTGTTAATTTGTCCATTTGAATTCGGATACAATCTAGGTTCGTGGTTGTGAAAGATAGACGATGCTATAATGTGCGTGTGTCCATGATCAGTCTTCACGAAAGCTGGACACTTTTGGTGACGTTTGGAACAGTACCAATAGATGCTGGATTTACTCCGCGCGTCCTTCCAGTATGTATATCCATCTATGAGTAGCAAATATCCTGTGCGAGTAGGTACAAATTCCAATTTGACTGAAAGTTTAAAAACAATTGTTATTAGGAATAAACTTAATAAGAGTGAAATATTGTGCCCTATAAAAATTGAAGGCAGTTCATTTCACTTTGATTGACTCGATTGATTGATTGCTGAAACTGTGTCGCTTTTTGGCGTGTCACTAAAATATATTCCCGTTGCAATGTTTATAGACGACAGAAAAAATCAGGTAGACTTGACTGCACGGATGGATAAGTGATCACCTCGCCACTACCTGCAGCGCTGGGTGTAGTGGGTTCGATCCCCACATGGAACAACACTTTGTGTGATCCACAAATTGTTGTTTTGAGTCTGTCTGTACTTTGTGTCCATCTCATGAATGTTTAAAAACTCCTCCGTGACACAGGATATATTCCTTGAGCGGAATTCGTGTTTCAAAAAAACAAATAACCATGCTCTCATGAAACAAGTAGTTACACTTAGGTATAACTTTTAATATACCTATATACATTTCAGGAATAACAGGTTAAGTGAAGCCATTTCTATTTTAATCCTTTCCATATTTAGCTTTTCAGAAAACCAAAAACTACACATAATCATAACTTTTATGTTTGGGTAAGACACATATGCTAGGTAATTTGTTTGAAAGAAATAAAAAATTGACAATTAATTCAACTTTACTCATCATTTCAACTCTTACATATAAGTACATGTAGGTATAAATAAGTGATGTACCTAAATACATGATAACTATTAGCCCTTAAACAGTCTAATATCTAATAATACTAACTCAGTGAACACAATTATGTCAGAATGACGTCATGCCACGTCATGATTAACGTATATTATGGCATTATATTAAGGAAGGAAAATATGACTCATAATTACCCACTGCCTGGCATAAGATTTTTATGTAATGTAGATGACGTAAATATGACATCTTATTGACATCATTATGGCTTAACTGGCGTCACAATGACATAACTCTGATGAAGTAATTAGTACTCTGATGAAGGAAGTAGGATGCTTACAAAAATATGACGTCCAGCTGACGTACTTGTCATTTCACTTTTTGTGTTCTAGACCAGCAGATAAATATTAAATTATCAAATAGTATTGCGCAACTTGCAACTTATAATAAAATTTGATAATTATTAGTCTCTTTTTTAAATAATTACAAAAATAATTCAAAAAGTGAAAGTGACAATTACACATTTATTATTATAAGTAGTTATTATACATTGGTACCTATTGTTAATTCGGTTAGTAATTGTTCATTTTCACTTTTTGAATTGAAAACTAGCACACGAATCTCAATTTTATAAATGAGATCGTGCTACTTAGACTTTGACTTATTCGAATAAAATTTAGTAATTATTAGTCCCTTTTTCGTTTAAATAATATTTTAAAAAATCCAAAAGGTGAAAATGACAATAACAGGTTCTAGTGCAGTCAATGCACTTCATTATTTTTTGGAATCAAAGTCTGTAATTGTCCATTTTCATTTTTTAGATTATAAGACAACACAAATCTAATAAAATATGAAAAATTTAATAAATTTCTTAATTTACGCTCTATTTCCATTCGACTTCTGATTATTTTTATCCATCTGTGTAGTTTTTTTGGTGACCTGTTTGGGTTGTTCTCCTGCCCTTTGATTACCAAGCCTAAACCAATTAGTTCCAGCTTTGCTGAATTCAGCTTTGTCCCACGTCGGAAACTTTTCAAGAATAACCTCTAAAAGATAATTGTTACATTAATGTTTTGCCGCTATGTTGTTAAAATTTATAGATTAAAATCATAACTTACTTTCACAAATATCAATCACTTTCAAAGTGTTAACTTTGTACTTGGTTATTTTACCTTCCCAGGTGTTTTCCTTCGCAAATTTGTTTGAAAAAATAAAAGCTAACGCTCTTTCAGTAAAATCTTTGCCATTAGCTCCCCCAACTTGCTTAACTTTTCGAACCTAGATAAAAAATTAGTATAGGTATAGATAATTTAATAAAAAGAAAGTGACAAATAATTCCAAATAAAAATCTGTCAATTTCCCGTACTTATTAATTTACTAATAATAAAATATTTTTCAAAAATCATTTTAAACATTTGTTTTAAATACACATACTTACATAGTACATTTTTAATTTTAATTACTCAATGGAACTTTTTTAATAATTTATTTTTTTATTCAGTTTAAGAAATGAGTGCATACGAACTATGAACACTATTTATGTTGATTAGAAATTCTATTTTTTTTTATCAAAAAATCTCAAAAGTATAAATATTTTAAATATTGAGATTAACATTTTTCAACCTAATAAAATAATATAATTATAAATAACTTACGAATTCATTTTCAAACTTCTTGCAAGTTTTCAGTCGTGTTTCAAAGGCTGACACCCCTTCTTGAGTATCAAGTTTCAAATGGGATTCTACTTCAGCAGAAATAGCAGGTTCCAAGCCAGAATTCCCATTGTTATTAGACACGCTCCTTTGCTTCAAGTCTTTCACTTCTGTTACTAGTTTACCCAGTAAATAAACACAAGTATCTAATTTAGCTGAAATAATATTAACAATAATAATACCGTATAATGTACCGTCAAAATAAAACAATTTCATCATTTTAATCATCCATCCACTAAACAGAAAAGTAATAAATTTTCAAGTGATAATATTACCTTCAAGAATTTGGAGCTTGTGTGTGACTTGCACATCTATGCCCTCATCGCGAACTCCGCGACTTCTCGAAGCTGTTGCTCCTCGTTCGTCTTGTTTAGATTTGCAACTGCTTATAAGTGCCTCCGCAAGAGCCATAGTCCTACTAATCGAACCATCTGAATCATCGCCATTCTCGTGACTTCCACTAAATTCTTCTTGGTTTGTGGGAAACCGAGGCAATGCAGGAACTAAAAAATAGAATACAACATTTATATTCATAAAAGTCAATACATACAATGCATTTAGTTAAGAAAAAATACTTCTATATTAATATTGTTTAGCAATAACTTTACGAATAATATATCATTTTATCAATTTGTCGAATTAAAAGCAAAATAGTTTTTGAATATAAAAACACTAATTATTTAATATTTCAATTCAGTCAATGTCGTCATCAGAACTCGAGGAATAAATTAGATTTTTCTTGCTATGTATTTTTAAAGCATCTCGAACTGGTGAAGTGACTCTCCTTTTTCTGTGCCCCCGTTCAAAAGTCTCCGCCGCTGATGAGTACTGCGAGTCATCATTTCGAGTCAATTTTTATGATGAAGCAAAGCAGCAAAGCGCAAGAAAAGTAGCTACTTTTCTTGCAGCAAAGCGCAAGAAAAGTAGCTACTTTTCTTTCGCTTTCTAAAGTACCTACGATCATCATAACAATTATAAATAGTTATTTGAGTTTCCAACTACATAATTTAAAATTTTATTAATAATTTTAAGATGAATTATTTAATTTTTATACAGAATTAATCACATGAATAAATCAATTGCAAGGTTCATTAATTGACACGGCTGGCAGAAATCTGACATTTTTTTTCATTAGTAAACAATTAACAAAAAATACAGATGTAGATATGTGCTACACACATGACCTAATATATCTTTTTATAGAACACAATGAAACACACACATGTCAAAAGTACATACCCATAAAACCTTGTTATATAATGTGAAACTACACTAAATCATACATTGATGCTTGCCCTACAAAAATGTATAACATATATACAAGTAATGTCTTACTTCTACTTACTCTAAGAAAAATAGATTTCTTGTTTCATTATGCACTCGTAATATAATATTTTTACATTGACAACACACACTTTATTAAAACTGCAACATCAAAACAAACCAGCGACAATATGCACTTGCAGTAGGAGCAGTTTTCAAATATATTCCATGATTTCCGAGATTCTTAGTGAACACCATCAGTCATACCAATAGATACATAATGCATCATACTAAAACATAGCTGAACCATAAAAAACCAATGGGCTTGTGATTGGAGGCGCTAGATTACTAAACTTAGTCAAAGAAAACAATTGTTTTTTAATAAAATTCAAAAGAAGATATTTCTAATGAATCAAGTACTCCCTCAGCTGCAACTTCTTCTTAAGCATATATTAGTAAAGTCACAAATAAACAGATAATCTTATCAGCAAGAACCACACAATATGAAATACACACTAAAATAATAATTTCATTTTCTGATCAAAAAACTATGTGGTAATAATGTATTTTACCTCACACATAATCATAGTGTTATTTTTTTATTTTTAACCCCACAAAAGTCATTCACTCAAAAAATGTTGGTGGAACATTTACCAATCGAAGCTGTAGTACTAAGCTTGATTAAAATACCATCTGGCGATACTACAAACCGTTCACGATAATGATCATGGACTCCTACTAAGCAATCTATATATTTTTCATCTGGTGTCAGTTTAACTTTGGCCTTGCAACTAGCAGTAGTTCGACGAGAGCAGTACCAGTTAACCTTATCAGATTTACTGTATGTGTAGCCATCAAGCAGTATCACAACTCCTCTTCGATATTGGACAAATGTTGGTCGTACTGAAACAAAACCCTGACTTAGAAATCCTGAATTCTTATAAACTTGTTAAATATAGAAGTAGTAGGTCTGTTATTGTGATGAGGTCATACTTACATCCACCAAACATGTTGCAGTTTAGTCTATTATTTGTATTTATTGGAATACTGGTTTAAATAATAATTTTCTTGAATTTTATTCAAGATGCAATGGTAGCTCATAGAGTAGAAAAAGTTAATTAAAAAATTCCTTTCAATCTATTTTTTTCTTTTTAAAAAAACCAATACCATAAATTATAGAAATAAAAAACATGATTCACAAAATGCTTTATTTAGGAGTAAAAGGTATTTATTATTTTAAATATAATTTATTTTAACATTTCATTCCATCTAGTTTAAAAAACACACTGACTTATTATATATTACAAGTATACCTGTGTAAAGTGAACACTGCATAAACATCTTATGGATAGGTTCAAAAAGTGATATTTCTTCGTATTTATTCCTAAAATAGGGTAGAATGGGGTGGTAGGAATAAAAAAAACATTGTTAATACGCTTACACTCATTGGTTTAAACTCGTTGAGACCCAAAACAGGATATTCTTGTTATTTTACTTTCACTATATCTAGTATAACCCATAACTACTGTTAAAAACATCTCCAAAAAGGAGTTTCAATACATAATATGTGTAATAAATAAACAACTTTAAGATACAGAAAACCATATAAACATACAATATAATGGTATTATATGGACATTCGCTGATACATTATTATATAGAAAATCACAAATATGGTCAGTAAGCTCAACATCTTACTAGAAAACTCATTAAGAGCCTTTAAATAAGATACATCTGTAAACAACTATCACACCTTAATACCTATTACTTACCACCCCGCTGAATAGATATCGCCATATTTACATCACCAGAACACCACAATCACATTAGAAACATATCACTTCATCATTTTCACTAGTTTTTTCACTCAAACAATAAGAAAACAAATATTTCACTAAACACTATATAGGTTATAATCACAAATATCCTATATGCACAATTCAAATGTTAATTTAAAGCACGCACGAGCACACAACAATTTATGAACGATTTTTACCAATAAGACAAAACAATACTATTAGGTTTTCATTAGAAAAACCTTTAAAAATAGGAAAATGTCAGTAATTTGTTTTGACGTTTGACATTACTAGAATGTTTACAACGAACTAACAAAACCTTTCACAAAATTTCTTTTTTTGGTTTTTGAAGTGTTGCTTCTTTTCAAACATAAAATTATTTCTTGTAAATTATTGTTTTCATAATTTGATAATTGGTTTAATTAATTTTCAGTCTAATAAGTTCCTTAATAATGAATAGTTGATTTTCATTTTTAGGGTTCCGTACCTCAAAAGGTAAAAAAGGAACCCTTATAAGATCACTTTCTTGTCCGTGTGTCACCAACGATTTTTTCAGGAACGGGTAGACCTATAAAGTTGAAATTTATACCAGATACTGAGGCCTATGGTCCTATTGGGTGTATTAAAATCGATGTCCTGAGTCAACATGATGAAAAGATATGGGGGAATTTCGATTTTCGCGAAAACTTGTAAGTACCAAAATTAATCTTAATTTTTAGCTTTGTTTTTCAAAATTTTCCGCTTACTTGTCCTGTAAGACCTTGCTTTTAACCAAAATTGACAATTCTAGGTCAACCAGAAATAGGTTTAGGGTTTTGGGTCGAAAACCTATATGGTAGTTCTCGTAGTCACGAAATTTGGCAAAAAGAAACGTCTTACAGCACAAATAAAGGAATAATTCCAAAAAAAAAAGTTGAAAATTAAGATAAATTTTGGTACTTACAAATTTTCGCGAAAATCTACGTAAAATCAGGGTAGGTACAGAACCCTCAGCGCACGAGTTCGACTCGTACCTGACCGGTTTTTTAAATAATAGTCTAAATATATAATTGAATGGCCTAAATATTATAAAGTAATAAATTATAATGAAATTGTATGAATATATAGATATAGATTTTCGCAAGGTGAGTGACACATGATTGCAACACATTGTGCGCCGCACTATTATTTTTACTTATTTACCATTTTACGAAACAATTAATAATAATTAATTAGAGTGCATTACAGGATTGGAAGTCGTGTTAACTTTTCTTAGTTAAATTGTGATTTTACTGTCATCATAGTAAAATCACAATTTATAACAGACAAAGTCAAAGTTTAAAAAAAGAAAAAGTTGGTATTTATTGCAATTAAAATACAATTAAAATAAGTACTTTTTAAACGTTATTTCACCACGAGAAATAAAAGGCCACGGTATCGTGCTCAATTTGCATCAACTCCAAATCAAAGATGATTGGTGCGCGAATACTTAGTACCTTTTCCAAGAATTGCAATGCTGAGGGATTTACTTTAATATAAATGATTAATACTATGTGATTAAATTAATCACATAGTATAGGTATTAATTATTTATATTCACACTACACTATATACAGAAAATAGCTTTAAAATTTAATTATCACGACAACACTCAATATGAAGACACACCATTTGTTTACAAAGATCTTATCCGGTTTGGCTGAAGTGTTGGTATATAATGTATGTATACCTACCTAATGTGTCGCAGTGACATTTGACGTTTATTCGACGCATAATATAACCTCAAATAATCTTGTTTATTTGGTATTAAAATCAATTTTCTGGATTTACGAGGCTTAGTGCAATAGGTCGAAGTATAGATTTAATGTTTTATATGTATTTTGCTTTACCTCGTGCCTGTGTAATAATATTGCAATTGACTTTCAAATTATATATATGTTGTATTTTGAAAAAGTTTGTACTTTCTATTTCCTTATACTTCTTGTTATTAATTTTGTAAACCTAGTATATTTATAAGTGTTTTCGATATAGTAATAGTGATGTGGTTTAAAAGTGAAGTGAAAATGTTTGAAAGTATCGAGATCTAACAGGTAAACAAATTTTTGATTATAACCTTGTTAGCGGTTGAACACTTCTTCGGTAAACTAAAACCAATTTTCTTGGTTTAAGCTTTAGGCGACGCAAAATCTACCTGCAAGAACCAATTGTTGCAAATTTTAATTAAAATCATATTTCACATTAGTCTCTTGGAAGTGGAATTTTAGATTTACTACTAATAAATTACATATATTAAATGTTAACAAATTGTACCATTAAGCTCTAAAATACTGGTTGTTATAGGGTTTTTTTCAAGTTTTCCTACTCTTTGCAGTACTGTTGTCTTGGGAAGTTTGTTCCCTTAGTTAGCTCATACGACACCCACTATATGAATAGGGGTGGTGACACTAAAAAACTGTGTGGATAAATTGTGTGGTGAATTGAAAAAAAACAAAAAAAAACCTGTCTAAATATCAAAAAAAAAAAATTTCAAGTTTTCACTGTTATCAATGGACTCTGAGTGTTGTTCTTTTTATAGTAAGAAATATATAAATGTATGCTATTCTCATGTATTTAAGAAGACAATACATACTTTAATATATGTATTCATTTTATTCTTCAAAACGATTAATCAAAATAATAAATAAGGGATGAAACCGGAAATGTTAATCTGCCACCAGAGTGCACAGTTTGTGTACAATAGACCCCAACAAAATTTTTGAAAGGCTCACCTTTGAAGTAAGCAGTTTTTGACCCAACACAAGTTAAAATTTAATCTAGAACTGAAATACAATTGTGGAGGAACGGGTGTAAACGGCACACAGGGAGGTTCCTCCAACCAGGTGAGGTGATCATGCCTGGCGGGCCATGGCCCAACTGTTGATGTTGGGCAGTTGTATATATGCTAATCGGCTAGAGAATTCTTCATATTGTGATAATGGCATAGCAATTCTCATTCAGTGGTTACTCCTTAGTTCGGTGTGTCTTCGTTAGATGGCGCTGTAGTATATTTCTGTTTCTTTTTATGTACAATTTATGAAAAATATGAGCATCTTTAGTGACCACATACCAAGTTCCTGTTCATAAAGTAAGACAGACCGCTACTTAATTTTAAATATTATGAAATATGTAATACTATATAATTATTTAATACTAGCTGGTACCTGCAACTTTGTTCGCGTGGAATTTGAAAGTGTAGTAGTGTAATACAGGTCGGTAATTGACTGCAGTCCATGAGGCCTCGGGATTGATTCCAGGACCGAGCAAAATTTTATGGGGTTTTCTAAGAGGGAAAATAGCCAAAGTTATTCCTTATATAGACAAAGAGAAATATTATCAAAATTGGTTCAACCGTTTTAAAGAGTACCGGGAACAAACAGACAGACAGACTAAAGGACAAAGTTTTTAGGTAAAGGTGTCATGAAAATAAATGTGTGAGCATGAAAAAAACCTATTATTTTGTTATTACAAACAGACACCAATTTTTTTTTATGTGTGGATTTATATAGATAACTTTTTATGATACACATCATGTACATCCATTTCTGATTTTTAATTTAAGTCCTGGAAGAGCAATACTTGGCACATATGGGCCAGGCTCCACCGGAGTGATACCACAACTACACAGACTATTGTTGTTAAGCAGTTCTTTTGTTGTTTTTCACCGAGTGAATGAGGTTACCGGAGCTTAAATCCTCCCCATCCCCATGGTTCGGGGGGAGGAACTGAAAGGGCAATGCATTTGTTACTCTTGAGTTCTGGGTTATTAGCGTCGGTAGCCACTTACGATCATGTGACCCGTCTGCTGGTTGTCTTAAAAAATGGTTTCGTTATAACATTACAAATTAAACCAATCTAACAAGAATACGGCAACTGTTCGTTCATCAATTTCTTTTTCTTTAGTATGATAATTATTCCATATACGTCTTCTTCTAAGCTGATAGACTTCAACTGCTGGTAATAAGTCTCCCCCAAGTTTTGCAACAACAACCGGTCTTGTGCAGCCCGCATGCAACGGTTCCCTTCACCAGGTCGTCAGGCCACCTCGTACCCAAGCTCGTACTTCCGGTGCGCGGTCGTCACTCGAAAACTCTTTGGCTTCATCGACCATCTTTTGTGCGAGCTTATTTTCCGCCCACTGCCACTTAAGGTTGGCAATTCGTCGAGCAATGTCAATGACCTTGGTTCATCTACGATCTCCTCATTCTTGATTCCATATATATTTTGAAAATTTATTTTTCTTTTGGTTTTGTTGATATGAATGCGAATGGGAATCGAAAAATCCGTTACATCACAACAATAAACTAAAAATATCTGCTTAGATTATTTATGTCTAGATGATGATGGATGTCTAGACGAAGAAATAGCGATGAATTAATGAAAGGATGAAAATTTTGCCGTGTGGAACGATGGCTGAAATTTGCGTCTGGTATTAGTCCGAACAATTCCTCGGAGCACTCTCTATGATATATGCGATAGAAAATGCAGTGACCCACATCTCTACGTAACGCCAAGAAATCGAGCCGAGCGGAGATGTTTGGTCTATCGACGATTCGAGTTGCACTTCGTTGGATGCGGTCCAGAGGGAGAAGCTGGTACTGAGGTGCCCCTGCATAGAGATGAGAACAGTATTCCATATGCGGCTGGACTTGCGCCTTATAAAGCTGAAGGCTGTCGGCCGGAGTGAAATACTGCCTCTGTTCAGCACACCGAGCTTCTTCGAGGCCCTCTAAGTGACCCCGAAACTGGACTTTGCTCGATATGTCGATGCCTAGGATTCCGATGCTGGCTGAGGCGGTTAGGGAGGTGCTCTCAAACTAAGGTGATACAACAAATGGTATCTTTTTTGCGGTAAATGCACAGACCTACATAAAATTCCGTAAATGTCAATTGCAATTAATAATTATTAATGTTATATATTTATTATATAATAATTATTTAAATAATAATTTTTGAAAAGAATTTTAAAATCGCAAATTAGAGATAAAAGAAAATAGTGTGATGGATGAACCTGGTGACTTTTTACCAAGCTAGCTAAATCTGATTCAATATATTGGCGAGTTACAGCCTTAAATCGCCGTGTTCGTTGATTTTCAAACGGTTTCTTTGTTTTAGCAAAATGTTTGTAACCACACTAAAGCCATTTTTGACTAGGTATGATTATGGAAAAGTGATAAGGTATTTTTCAGCAGTGTTCCACAATGCCGGATACTGTGTTTCAATGTTACGCTGCAACCAGAACTTTTGATCATCATCATCATCAGCCTACCGCAGTCCACTGCTGGACATAGGCCTCTCCCATTGCACGCCACTTAGATCGATTTTTGGCTTCTCCTATCCAGTTCCTGCCAGCCATCTTGCGCAAATCGTTACTCCACCTCGTCTGTGGGCATCCTATACTACGTTTGCTGAGACGCGGTCTGCACTCAAGAACTCGTTTTCTCCAACGGTTGTCGGTTCTGCAGCTAATATGGCCAGCCCACTGCCACTTCAGATAATCCGGTAGGCTATGTCGGTGACTTCTACATTACAATGAAAAACATCGTTTTGAAGCATTTCTGGTAATTTTGACAAATTCGGAAACTGAGAATATTCTTTTCTGCTTAAATTTCGTTTAAAAAGAATAAGTTTACCCACAAAGGCCGATATTATTGATTTTGTTTTGATAAAGTTGTGATCGTCACCCTGCAGCTGCAAATTAACTGTTCTAAACATAAGAAAGTCAAGCTATAAATATCTGTTTTGCAATTGTTCAGATTTTCTTTCAAATTCGTATCTTTTTCTTGTAAAAACTCCAACACAGTTCTAACCTGAATAGCCTGCGAACTTCAGTGAGCAGAAGTAACCAAGTAGACTACGTTGTTTTTCTCACATAACTGAGCTTATCTCAATCTTGTTGGAAGCATTTATATCGGCCTCGCATTTATGCCTCGGGCAGCAGTCGCTTTAAGCTAAAAAACCACGATTATGACTAACCATAGCTACTGCACCATCTATCGCAACAGAAAAAATGTTCTTCCATGGATAGCTTTGTCAGTGAAAAAACGTTCTACGGCCTGAAAAATCGATTCTCCTCTTGTATCATTCTCTAAATATGTAGCAAAAAGCCGTTTTTTTACATATTTGTCATTCGAATATTAATATATCGAAAATATCTTAACAACAGAGCTTCATTGCCGTGTAATGTAGACTCGTCCAACTAGAGAGAGAGAATCTGTTGGTCTGTAAAAAATTACATAAAATGTTTTCCACGTCGCGCCCCATCTCGTCTATTTGTCTCTGAACGGTGTTATTGCTTATAGGAATATTCCTTATCATGTCATGTTTTGCAATACATTGTTGAGGGCCTCCTCAATAACTGGAAAAATAAGCTGCTCTCTAATTGTGTAGGATTTCCCCGTCTTCGCTATTATTTGTTATAGGACGTTCGTAAACCAAAAACGTCTTGCATAGATTATGGCGCAAACATTGATCTTATGGATGGCCCTTTCTCTTGTTTTTCTTTAAGTGCTTGAAAGCATGACAAGTGGGCTAGTCTTGATAAGTGGTCCTCAATAGGAACTTGTGTAAATAACAGGGGTCGATTTTTAGACCTCATCGATCCCCAAAATCAGTTTTCATTTATGTCGACCCCTGGGAAACCGATTTCGACCCCTAGGGGTCGATATCGACCACTTTAGAAATCGGTGATCTAAATAAAATTAAAAAGTCACCTAATATCAGTAAGAACCATTGGTTCGTATATGTTACAGCAAAATAAGCCATTGAATTATTTCTTAAATATACATTTTTATTTTGTTCGCAATTTTGTATGTGTGTAGTCAAAACTCCCTTAAATTGCGAGTCGGACTCGCGCACGAAGGGTTCCGTACCATTATCTATCGGCAAAAAAATTACGTTTGTTTTATGGGAGCCCCCCTTAAATACTTGTTTTATTTTAATTTAATTATTTATTTTTAAAGTGAATATATAACTAAATATTCGGTGACTATTTCAAGCGTCTACCTGTTGCCGGTATCAATATCGAGCAAAAACGAGCAAAAAAATAACGATTGTTGAATAGGAGCCTACTTAAATATTAATTTTATTCTGTTTTTAGTATTTGTTGTTATAACGGCAACAAAAATACATCATCTGTGAAAATTTCTACTGTCTAACTATCACGGTTCATGAGATATAGCCTGGTGACATCCCGTTTTACCCTTTGGGTACGGAACCCTAAAAATGTGGCGTACTATGTATTCTATGTAGAATAGAACTTCTCCTGTAGTAATTTATAGTTAATTAGTAATTTTCCAAAAGCGATAAAATTTTAAATGATATCATTTTAAGGGTTTTAGTTTTAAAGTGAATAATTTTTATCCACGTTGAGTAATTTTTTGGTATCGTTGAGTAATCCATGAAGGATTTATTGCATGGTATGCAAGCGCCAGGAAACGCGGAGTGCTGTATATGAGAGAGCGTGAGAAGTATCCAGTTTTTTTTTTTGTTTCCTTTCATGTAAATCTTGCAGATTAGTGTAGATAGATCTAAAGAAATATTCTCTAACTTCGAAAGACCAGTACTTACAACATCCGAGTAGGTGCTGTACCAGTACCTATGTCTGTGCCAAATTTCATCCAGATACGGTCAGCCGTTTTTGCGTGAAAGAGTAATAAACATCCATATATTTATACAAACTTTCGACTTTATAATATTATTAAGAGGTTGTATTTTGTATTACAGGTATTGCGAGCCATGCTGTTATTCAGATGCTGAAAGTGGTGAGTGCGCGTTCAAACTCAAAACATTTGAATGTTCATCAGTTAAGACTTTTTTAAATGTTAATATTATTATACTGAATTATAATAATTATCACACTGTACTCGTATATGTTGATCTCTATTGAAATTAACAATTATTTATTTGCTTCCTAGTGTCCCCGATTTTTTATCAGTAATTTCGTTTGTATCATATCGATATATTTTTGTATATATGACATGAAATCTGCTACCCGACATTCTTCTAAAACTTTTAGTATGTAATTGCGACAGGCTCGAAAGAGAAAACTAATAAGTGTCTAACTATACCATTGCCTGTATGACCTCCAAATATATATGTAACCATCTAAAATTTTAAATAAATATAAATAAAATAATCAACTGTATGTTTTTCTTCGTACCTACGTATTGTGGAGTAAACACATGACTACGAATATACATACTTTAATATTAGCCGCATTACATGTCAACTTCTAAGCATAGGTTGCTGCCCACCCCGAAAACTTGACAAATGTGGCGCGGTGATTTCCTTCTTAGACTTGCTCACCACTTCGGTAGAATTCTAAGCTATATTATATATTCTATACCAAGTCTCCTAAGAGTAGTAATGCCCGCACTCGCCTTTTAATAAATCCTTTGTTTTTGTATGGTTCGCTTAGCAACGACTATTCAGTGGAGGTCAATGGAGAAAAGAAGGCTATAAATCAGGGGATTCGTTATTGATGGTTGTTATGTGCAGATCACTTAGGGAAGCGATCTGTGTGTAAACATGTAGATTCCTAGAATTTTGGGCTGGACAGTGATATAAATTCATTATGAAGACCTATGATTTTATCCACACTATAGTAGGTAAAAGGTGACGCAAAAGCTTAATCCATGCGTTTTTTTCACTAAATCGTGTGTGCTTTTGTTCAAAACTCGAAGCGTCATGATGCCCTTATCTTCCTTATCGATGAGCGCTATATTCATGTCTCAGTATCTTAAGTCTGTATCCATCATCCGAAATTCCGGGATCTTGATGAAGAACTTGAAGGTGCTGCTATCGCAAATTTCTATGCAGACAGATTGGACAAAGACTACGACGAACTTTTAAATAGAGAAGTTCCCAAGCAACACACTGTATAGTATTTTATCGGCACCGTCATCACCATCGTTTCATGAGAAGCCCTTTACCACTTTAAGAGCTGTCTCTACTCTAGCAATGGACGTCTTATGAACAAAACAACTTGACTGGAATGCAGGAATGCATTCCAGACAAGTTAACATGGAGTGATAATTGTAACATGGCGGTAAAAATAAAATTGGAATATTAGAAACGCAAATGTTTTTTTTAATTCGCCCCAACTTTGAAAAAATTACTTCATTGTGAAATTTCAAAAATAGTTTCAGTACCTAAAATGACATTCCAGTATTTACAGTAAATTTCGTGAGAACTACCCGCGGAGCTCTTCTCATACTACTCAACGGTTTGCTGTATCGTCAGCAATGTAAAGCAACCAAGGATGGTTACAAGACCTGGTACTGTGTCATGTACGCGAGGTTCCAGTGTCCTGCAGTCCTCACACTGGATGCCTTCAACAGTGTAGTATGCGTTAGAGGCGACCACAACCACCCTGATCCAGTCATATTTGACACTCCAAGAGGTATAGTCCATAAACACGGAAAAAGTAATAAAGGCAATTTCAAAACTCGGGCACCTAGTCCCGCTTGTATATTCTAATTATCTTCACTTAATGACGTAATTTATTTTCCATTGAAACTTTTTTACATTTTACACTTTTTCAAGACTATAAGAAATTAATTTTAAATGTATGGTGTTATCACGTGTGTATATCAAAGGTGCCTGACTAGTTTTATACCCCTTGGGAAGGTTTGTTCTGGGGCGAAGCGATCTGAACCGAGTGTTTACACGGACGAAGAACCGTATTTATTTAATTAATATAAAGAATGCCATAAGACCATAGTAAATTTAAAGCAAAATTTAGGCCATATCAGTCATGTCAGAATGGCAGACCGTACAGTCTAGTCATCGATCTAATTTTCTGATTTAATGGTCATTTTTATACAAGGTGGTACACATTAAATGTACGGATGGCGTAGCGGTTTAATCGGTCACCTCGCCGCTTTCTACTACGCTGAGTGTTGTATTTAGGTAATTTGTGGGTTCGATCCCCACATGGGCCAACACTTTGTATGATCCACAAATAGTTGGTCTGAGTCTGGGTGCTCTTTGTGTCCGTTTTATGTAGGTATGTTTGTAAAGTCCCCCGCGACACAGATTGGGGATGCGGGAGTTGACTTTAAAACAAAAAATAAAATAAGGGTAGATTGTATAGTTCTTTTAGTGCCACTATGCACATAAAAAAAATATGAGAAGTATGAGTTCTTCAGATTTGCAATAATATAAATCATTGGTACCTACTTATGTAAATATAATGCTTAAGTTGTATTGTTTTAAAATACAAGATTCATTCAAAATGATGCAACTTAAATGTTAACATAACAAGTTAAATGCAACTTTTCATTAAAAATTAAAAGTTGCATTTAACTTGCAAGATCTGCGACGAAAATAATTAACCTTAAACTTGTCTAGTTAAAATGTTAGTGACGTTAGTGATTCGTTTCTAATGTATATTTTATATATTATCTAATGTTTGTCACATTTTTTCTTACTGGAACACTAGATTAAAGTTCTTTTACCAGGTACTTTTACACATGGTAAACAAAGAAGTTATATGGCATTGACATTACTAATGTAAAGAAACTGGCGCCAATTACCAAAAAGGTCAAACATTGGGAACGTGTTCTAGTGGGAAAACGACGACACTTTTGTAAATAATTTATACCTTTTAAATTTGTTCAATATTTCGAATAAATACCTTTTACGATTCTGTGATTTGTTTTACAATTTTGTAGTTCAAAAAAATAGATATACATATATTTCGTGTTATCTAAAGGTATTTCACGGTTCCAACGTATTTAAAATACAATGTAGCTAATAGACCTAAATATATTAAATATTAAGATTTCATCAAAATATTAAGTATTATTTAAGACAAGAATATATGTTTAAATTTGTATTCACAGGTTATTTATTGATATATATGAGTAAAGAAAACTTGACACGTCATGAGTGACCAATGACGTTTGACCATAGTTAAACAAAGTTTGTTTCAGTATTGTTTATGTTTTAGAACAGACTAGAAATCATAAACTAGTTCACACCAATAAATAATTGAATTAATGTGTTTTTTGTTTTGTTTTGTATATCAAAATTAGCGTTTATGGAATAATAATCTTTGAGTTATAGCTGTTTAACAGCTATAACCAAATATATAACCCGAATACAGTATAAAAATAATTTATCACCTGATAAAATATTTTTATACTAGGTATATTCATTATTATGTTTTCATGCATTATTTAATAATTCAGGCAATTATTAATCAATTAATTATAATTGTCTATTTACAATTATTTTTTGAAGTCAAGAGTTTCGATCCCAAGTATGAATTTTTTTATTTATGATTTAATACCTACATTGTAGTATGCCGCTGAATTTATTTTGTTTTGCAGAAGCACTCATCATACCTTCCAGAAATAAAAGAGGTCAAGGCATGTTGGTGTTTCGCAATTACACATATTCGTGGCGCAATCACAAGAAGAATGGCAGTTATTGGACCTGCTCCAGTCATCACAAGAAAGGTTGTAAAGCAAACGTCACTACTGACGAATCGAAAATACCCTTCAGAATAACAAAATTTCACACTAAACACAATCATCCGCCTCCCGCTATCAAACTACCCACAGATATAGAATATATTTGATGAAAATGAAGCATAGGTGATCCTCCCTCCAATGAACTAATACTATTATTATTTTAATAAAGAAGTTGAAGGGTATTGAGTGTGGGCGGTAGAGGCAAGGCACCACTAGCCAGAGTGAAGTGTATTAAATAAAAATATTTTTTGATTTGTTTTGCGGACTAAGAGTAATTTACAGAACATCAAGTATTTACTCACTGTAGTAGCTGCAGAGTTCACCAATGATTTAGTCACTGCGTGGGAAGCGAAGGTTCGCAGGCGGCGCGGCGGGGGAGATGCTCCCTCCCCGCTTACCTCAGGCTCCAACTGATTTCAACTCGTGCGCAGAAAGTTTTACTTGAAATTCATACACTAGATACAGATACGTCAAATTAATCCTTTGACGGACACTTTCATATAAAGCGATTGTCCCTCTCACTTCTACTCCTCAGAGAATTAAATGTTTTAATAATAAATGACAAGTTTTATAAAAAACTATATATAAGTAAACGTTTTATTTCTTCATCTTCACATTTACAAATCAAGTGCAATTCATGTAGTTTATAAACAGATTGAAACCACGACGGAATACTTTCGTGTATTTGTTGAAGATAAGATATTAATAAATTTTACTAAAGTATTATAAAAGCGTTTTATTGTAAATTTCTAAACTAAACATACAGTATATCCTCGATAAAGTAAGCACCACATGTACTTTTTCTATAAAACATCCACATTTTAAACCTATTAAAATATTTTTTCAGGATATTATTAAGTTATTTTATTCAGAGCCTTGAGATTACTATTGTCTTTATCAAACTTACTGTAATTTTATCACATCATAGTCTCATTCATCTATTTAACATTTAATTGTACCGAATGAGTTGGAAATAAAAATTGCATTGTTACAGAAATACACTTTATTACTTCAAAAAAGGGGCATGAGTTACTTGTATACGAACAGTATACTTTTGCAAAAAACTCGGAGAGTAGAAACCGAGTCACCTGGACCTGTTCCTCCCGATGTTCTAAAAAATGTAATGCTCAAGTAACCCTAAGTCACGCAGGTGTATTTGGAGTCGTAAATAGTGAACATACACATCCGCCGCCCGTATTTTACGTAAATAAACAGGGTGAATACATAAGGATGACAGAGAAACAGTTAAGTCAAATTCAGGATGAAGATGAAATTAATTATCCTGTCAATGCAGATCAAAATTAATAGATACGTACTTTGTACTAAAATTATGGTCATACCTTAAAAAGCCTTTTACTTTAAAGACTGAGACGCAGCTTGAGATATAACAAACTTCATTGTTATGGACCAAACAGTCGTGTCTTACAAAGTAATGAATGGGAAATGGGTTGATATGACGAAAGAATAAAGAAGGAAGCGCCATATTAATATGTCACTGCAGAGATGGTGGGTGCGAGTGTGCATTGATATTGCCAAATATGTACCTACGCCATGGTGAAAAGTCAATGGTAAAAAGTCAATATTACAGATATCTGCATTTGACATACGATCGTATCGTGGAACTTTGTTTTCTTGTGTAATAAACTGTCCTTTTTATTAGAGCAATACCAAGTTCCTATTGTAACAGGTCTGTGTAATAATTGCAATATAGTTAAATTTAGTTTTCTAAATAAAAAGTTCTTTTAATTATTGGTGATTTCATTTTAATTAAATGAATATTATAAATTATATTATTGATAATAAATGAAAGCGAGAAAAATAATTGGCAGGAAATTTTAGGTTTATAAAAACATTACCTGGATGGCCGAACTTTTCACGGTACCCTTTTTTGGTAAATTTTCTAAATATGAAACCTAGTTATATATATGTAATACAAGAATTACTGCGTTTAAAGGAATTAGATTTACGACCATGGGAGAGCCATGGTCACGGGGACCCTTATGCTCGTTTGCTCGTTTGCCTTCTATTTCATAAAACTAAAAGCAAATTTATTTCAACGCATCGCAGAGATGTATTTATCAGACTAATGTTCAAGCTAAGGACAGACGTAGTAACAATTTGATGCTTTTTTTCCTGTTTAGTAAATATACATAATGCAATTATGAAAATATATTTTACAGGATATTTAGTGAAGTCCTCTCGCGGCGAACCAATGTTACTATATCAAGACTACACGTTTAACAAAAGTTATTCTGCAAAGAATGATACGATTACGAAATGGTACTGTTCTTCAAGGAGTTCAAGTGCAAAGTGCAAGGTTAACGTAATTACCAATCCTGATAACTTAGTATTGCATTTGCAAGGCGTGCATAGCCATAAACCGAAGTCAAACAAGTGGATAAATGTACGATAGAAAAATATTATCCTTGAACCAGCTTTAAAACACTTAGCTTTAGGGAGACTTTTAAGAAAGTTAATAAATTTTATAGGTGGTCTAGGCAAGCCAAGCTGTACTTTGCTAAACGAAACTAATCCTAGTGTTGTGTAGTATCTACTTAATGTCTTAATTTACCTATAATATGTATGTATTTAGAAACATATAAGTATGTTTATCACCGGCCTGGTGTCAACCATACGAGTACAGGCTTTGCCTGGAGGTTTGTGAGGTTATTATTAACAGCCATTACTCCACTGCTGGACATAGATCTCTCCTTAAAAAGGAGATAGATAGTTAATAATTTATTTGTACACAAGGGTTTTACAGACATTATAAAGTTATTAACAACAGATGTAATGTACAAAGGGCGGCCTTATCGCTTAGTGCAATTTCTTCCAGGCAACCTTTGGATGGACTGGATTTATTTTGAACTGACTGACAGAAATTAGAGAAATAAATAAGGTTTTAACCTATAAAATATTTATCATACAAAAATCCTACGAATCTATATTTATACGTTAATACTATATTATACGAGTACATACGTTAATATATACATATATATAAGGAGGTGCTTATTATTACTTAATTGCGCATGTATTTTTATCTAAATAAATACTTTAAATAAATGTTTATTCTCAATGTTTCTTTTATTTATATTTTATCCTCTACTTATTACTAATACAGAGGTAATTAACAAGTTTTTAAAGTAATTCTGTCTTCACACATTATTAACGTCTACGTTATGGAATTTTTTAAAGATTTCTACTATTGTTAAGCATACTGGGAGATGAATTTCTAGTAATTTAAGTGAACTGTAAGTGGTATGTCGCGATTAAAGTTCTATAAAGTCATTTACACTATTCTGGTTTTCTTTACCCATTATTTATTTTATTTTATTCTATTTTATTTGTGGTACCCATATGTGGTAGACGATGGGTAAAGCAGTTAATAACTTAATAAAATACATCAATTTGTTTTTTTGCAGGACCCGTCATTATTAAAGGTAAAAAGAAAGGACAATACTTTCTTTTATACAACTCTTACACGTACACTCGAAGTGCTACTTCGAAGAAAGGCAAAGTATGGAAATGCACTTCATTCAAGGCCGAGGATTGCAAAGTTAGAATGACCACAGACGATAACTTGAACGTTGTCGTAACTAAAGGAGATCATAATCACGATCCTCCAGAGCGCGAAAGTAAACCTAAACATGTATATTTTACTACCTAGAATGCAATAAATGCTGTCTAATTTAGTTTCAACATACATAACGTTGAATTATAGAAATTATGAAATAAGTGTTTGTAAAACTAAGTTAGATTAATTTAAGGATATGGGTACTTTATTTAATGTTTTTCTTTACAATTTAAATGCATTTTACTTTAGGGTTTAAGTAATTTACAAATAATACTTTCGAATTGTCTCTCTGTTACACACCACTTACACGTCCGACCAACTGTAGCGTTCATAGAAAAGTAACCAAGTGAAGGGAGAGTGCTCCACTCCCCGCACACTAACTAGTAGAGTAATTTGTGGCATGAGACGACAGAAATATTATTATTATTAACGTATTCTTAATCTACTAATAGGTACAATTTAGCAAAACCTAGGGTCGCTCGTACGCATCCCATTCTGCATTCTATAAATTGATGATGCTGCTTAAATGAGCTCCCAACGTTTGGGATCGTTTTTATTTTTAAGTGATCTAAATGGCTATGATGAAATAAACAACTTTCATAGTTTAAGCTAAAATTTAATATTTAGAATTATTATTTTTTCTTTATTATTATTTTTTTTTTTTTGGGAAAATATTATTAACTTTGACTTCTAGATACAAGATCAGAGATGTACTAGATCACTATAAAATTTGTGACGTAGCTCAAATTAAAAAAGAACATAATACTTTTGAAAATTATGAATCTTATTCAATATCTAGTTTTTAAATACTGTGTGTGACAGTATTTAAAAACTAGATAGAATACTGTCACACACAGTATTTAAAAACAGTGTGGAGGTTTTGACACCGTTTCTACCAATATTCTAAGATAACTTTATTTTCATAACATGAAGATGGTCTGGTAAAATAGTGTGAATTGATTATGCACTCATTTTCGGGAGTCCCTCTGTTTGTACGTTATAGGTCTATCTACCACGAGTACCTACTTTTTTAAATATATGTCTTACAAACGGGAACTGTTAATAAGGCAAGAAATATTGCAGGTAGGTATTTTTTGTACTTCCTCAAAGCCAAATATTCTTTTATCATTTTTAATACTTTCACGAAATCTTAAATCTTTTCTTGTGTCATAATTATTAAGATACAAATATGTACTGTTCAAATTACAAGAAAATATCCGTATAAAGGTTGTCTGTAAGAGATCGCCGTGAGCGATAAGACCGCCTATTGTTATACCTAAATGTATATAATATCTGTACAAATAATACTGCAATAGTGTACAATAAAGAGATAAATAAATAAAACAAATAAAAATCATTCACAGTTTTTTCCGGTATTTGCAGTTCTGGCTACAGATATAATTTTAGGAGTCGTATAATGTGAAAATCATATAAATTAAAATTATTATATATGTATTAGTCATGACACATAATAGCTAGTGTGTAAAAAGAACGTTGCAACAATAAGCTTTATTTTCCTTTTATCATTTGGACGTTATTACATTGTTGATAAGAGTTTTGTTCTTGCAAATAGTATTTTTAATGCGTGGCATACTCCAAGCAAAACAATTAACACACCATTTTGTTATTATGAGATTATGTATATCTAACGTATAATGTGTTCGTTTGCTAAGTCTATGGTCTTTGAAATTACAATTTTAATTGTGGTGGGTATGAAAATAAAGACGTGCTAACATTCTAATACTGTTTTATTATAAGCCTCTTTATATTTTATGAAGTAGCTCTGATAAATGAAATTCTAAATTTTGACAAAGTTAAAGTCCTATTAGTAACTGGATTTTTGTACGGTATAGGGTCTTATTATTTCATAAGACAGTGTGAAGCTTACAGTTTTTATAATGATCTATTGTGCGCAAAAAATAATTCTTAGGCTTTCCTAAGAATTATTTTTTACGCACAATAGATTTACTTTTACCAATATCACTTAATAATTATACTTTCCTAAGAATTAATTTTTCATCATTTTATGAAATTTAAATAATAATAATGACATTTAAGTAAGGCGAAAAACCCGAAAGTTACCCTTCTGACCCATCGCACTACCAAATTACACTACCAGTAGTGTCAAGGGGAATAATTTTTCCCTTCTGCACTACTAACAAGTTGTCATCGGTGTCTTATATTTGGTACCTACTAGCTTTTGCCCTCAACTCCGCCCGCGTGTATGTTGGTTATCGCGATAAAAAGCCAAAGTTGCAAAACAAACTCTTTTTCACATTTATAATATAAGTATGGAAGTATGGGTTATTCTCAAATGTAAAAATGTTGGCGGGAAAAGCAGCCGTCAGGCGACGAACGGGTTAATTTTTACTGCTGTACAACTTCGATATTAAGGAAAAATAGGAGAATACTCAATTGAGTATTTGCCTATTTTTTCCTTTTTATCGAAGTTGTTTTGTAAAATATATTTTTGTATATATAATACTAGCTGACCCTGCAAACGTTGTTTTGCTATTTACATTATTTAATTATTTTTTTTTAATTTCTTAAAATCCGTTCTTAGCTGACCTCTACTCGGTGAAAAGAATATTCCTACCAAATTTCAAGCCTTTAGCTCTAATGGTTCCAGAGATATCGTGATGAGTGACTATATACGTGGAAATCTCTTATATATATATATATAGATAAATATGGTTATAAATATTATAGACTACATGGATTTACATTGTGCTTACTTGTGGATTCGACAAGTGTTGTTTTTTTCCATGTATACGTCAAAAAGTATTAACTAAAACTTTCAAAGACATTTAATTATTTTTTTGTAGATATTATGGTTTATTCTCTTGAACTCCTTCTCTTGAAATCTTAGTGCAGCACACATATATAAAGTGCATATTAAAGTGACACAAAGTTTTGTTATTTAATTAATTCTCCAGTTCTTCATCAAGTCTAATCAACTTGCAGTGTCAGTTGTGACAGCAATCGATGGGGCCACTCTACTGATGCTTAACGGCTACTCCTTCACGAACCCTTCACCCATGACAGGAGGCGAACGTTGGTACTGCTCGGGACGGATGAAATGGAAATGCAACGTCTGTCTCCACGTCAATGATGATTATGAACTTGTTTGTATTTCGAACGAACACACTCACAAAGCACCCGTGTATGATCGCACTCCAGATGGCTTATACGTGCAAGCTGTACCATAGTAATGCCATAATTTCTACTACTTTAGACATTTTGTTTTGCCATTTCAGTGCTACAAAAATGCCACTGTACTTATGTGCACTGTGTTTCGTAACGATTTTAAACTAGGAACTTACAATATTTCATTGATTATGCCTTAGATATTCTTCATAAAAAGGGAAATAAAAAAGGTAAGTATTAATATCAACAAAATTCTAAAGACCTCGATTTAATTACCTATCTGATCCTTAAAAAGGTTTTTTGATTACAAATTCAAAAACTTTTTTGAATGAAACGGACACAGATCGAGTTAAAGGCTATTGTTGTGTCGTAGGGTACGCGACTTTACCACTTTACGCACAATCTAAAACTATAACCTGTAAATATTGTAATTAAATTTAAATTTGAAATTATTATAGTTAAAATTTACCGTTATGTGTTTTATAAATATTGTGTGTTCAGGGTATCGAAATATTTTTACATATTATAATAAAATTTAATATATCTCTTTGTATGACACATTGACATTATTACGTGTGAAATAAAGCGTTATTTTTACTTCAAATGGTTGTACTAATAAAAATATTTTTAACTGAATATTTGAGTTCCTGTCTTGTTTTTATATATTAGCGAGACACCTAACATGTCGGCACTAGTTGGTTAATTTATTAAAAACGTACTTTTGCAAACTCCCATGTGAATTCTAAGAGATCTTGATTTTTTTTTCAAAATTTGGTCTTTTTTCTTTGTATTATATTATGTATTCGACAATTATTATTACACATTCAAGCAACGGCAGTATAGGGACTAAGGCATTCTTCAGAGTATAGATTATTGTTTATTATTGATTATTGTTTGTTTTAATGGTATTATCATCTATTAAGGGGGTTCAAGCGATGAAATTTGAGGTTTTATCACAATAAACTGAAATTTGGTAATCAAGAAGTATACGAATTAAGAATGACTCTGTAATTTCGACTGTAGCAACGAACAACATCGATTCTGAAAAACTTTATATTTTTTTAAAACAAGAAATAAAATAAAAATATATACTTAAACAAGTTTTGAGTCGAATACAATCGATACTTCACACTTACAGCTACTAACATCATCTAATGTTATAAGTTCGAAAGTGTTCGCCGTGATGTGAGCGACGAAGCGCGTGTTGCTTTTGTCTAATTTTAATTAAGTTATTAAGTTTATATAACTTCATAGTTAGTTTATATAATTTCATAGTTTCGTTATTAGTGTTTTGTTGTTTCTTATTATTAGTTTGAAAAATGAATAGTTGAGGTAGATGTATGGTTGATATATATAAAAAAGAAGACCAACATCAGAGTTGTGAAACCACACCCAAGGATAAAAATTACGATCATCCCGGGAAGTATACATTTTCTTTACAATTTATTTATATAATATTGAAAATAAGTTCTATTAATGTCTAGTTCTATGATCTTTGTAAAATAACTAGTAATTATGATTTTGTCGTATCCACAGGGCGGTTAAGAAGTTAAACTACTTTCTGTTGTAGATTCGATAGTCTTCCAAGTGTACTTATTGTTGACAAATATACAAAGTGGTACTTTTGATAGTATACGCGTACATTATCAGGAAGACAATTATCGAATGTGGTTCTTCGATTGTATACTGTGGAAAACATTTATCCAATCTACCAGTTATTATATTGTTCTACGCTGAATTTTTAGTTGAGATTTATTGACGGATTCGATTGTGTACAGATTTTTGTACTTCTTTTCATCTAATAATTAAAGTAAGATGTTCAATTACATGTTATTTAGTATCTCCTCTATATTATAATGACTATACCGAAGTAAAATGGAGGTTTTTGAATAATCTTTATGACGACGTGTTCCCCACTTTACAAGCAGAAGAAGACAAGACTAGTGAGAGTCTGACAAATGACTCCCCCAATGTTATATTTGACAGTGAAGAAGGTACACAAATGCCGTCATTTCTTTCCGGACAAGACCTTAATTTCTGATCACCAGTGACTGAAGATCCCGTAGGCGCCCTAAATGAAGAAGTACGCCTGTGCAGTTGCGTCCTTCTGGACGAGACCCTCTCACGTCAACTGTAACTAAAGACCCAGTAAACATCCCAAGTATAAGTTCACCGATTTCGACATCCGACAATGACTGCTGTTTTACTCCTACTTCATCTACTTGACGCAAACGCACACCAACATGCAAAACTGATCCAGGTCGTAAACGCAAACGACATGTCAAATGTTCATGTTCGTAGAAAAACCACGTACCATTCCAGCTAAAACCATGAAACCACCATGTACTCAAACCTGCAAGCTGCACTGCACTAAATATTTTAGAGAAGGAATTCGAAATCATCATCATCATCACATCAACAGCCTTTAACAGTCCACTGCTGGACATAGGCCTCTCCTTAGAAAGGAGGTTTTGACCTACTATACCACGCTGGCCAGACGGGTTGGTATAGGGTTTGTGTCAAGTTTTCCTTCTCTCTGCAGTGCTGTTGTTCTGCGTAGTTTTTTTCGATGAATAGGGGTGGTGACACTGTATTCTTAATTCGAAATTCGAAAAAACATTTTTAATGAGTTTTGGCGGTTATCTGATCACACTAAGCAGTATGAGTATATAAACAAATTTACTAAAAGATTTGATAAAAAAGGATGACAACTGAAAATCCATCTAGAAGAAAATTTACAACAAAAATATTATTTACCTTTACCTGCGAATGATTCTACCTACGAGGCTCAGCAAGTTTGTTTGAGGATGTACTCTGTTTATGGTACTCTTGCTATTACCGATCAAACAATTCGAACAGCACACAGCAAAAATTAGATGCTTGTGGAATGACTAACAGTGACAATATAGGGATGCAAGTATATCATCCAAAAAGATGGACGACGAGATGATACGAAGTGTTACTGATCACTTAAAGTCTTTTTAACTCGTTGAATCTCACTACACCAGAAAGAATACCAGTCCGGCAGCCAAATATAAAGACGTAATGAGTCTTTGCGAAGCAGTCATATACCTAAGGAATACCAAACCTTTTTTTTATTCTTAAAAGGAGTCAAATTGAAAATGTTTCGGGGAGCGATGAAGATCGAGTCAAGATGATGAAGTCGTGATACATAGGTATGTTAATTTACATGGTAAGATTGTTTAATTTACGTAATAAGACTTATTGATCTCAGAGTATAAGTACAAAAGTATATTTAATTTAAACAAATTTAGATATGTACGTTATGTGATTAATTTTCTGTGATGCATAATTTTATTTGCTTTGTATAAGTAGGCACTCGTATGTTACTCGTAAACGATTTCATGCTAAGATAGCTATTTTTTGTTTCCTTATTAATAAATGTGCCTTATTAAAAATTCAAAACTCGTGTTTGTACCCGCTCCTCCTTCTTCAAAACTATTAAAATGTATCACAAGTTTAGATTCTTACATAAATTGTCAAAGAACAATATCGAAACTGGTAGATCCGATATTTTTTATAATTTTGTAAACCATGAATAATATCGAATCTGCCACTTTCGATGAAATTGCTGTTTATGTTGACAAGGTATACTGAGGTATGAAATATGTATAAAATACTAATTAAATATTTAATTTAATTTAAATGCAAACGAAAACACATAAAATAAGCTATGTTATGGGGGCATATCTTTTATAACATCGTTATAATTTATCATAACAGGTCAAAATAAAGTTTTAAACAGTTGTACTGTAAATTATGTAAGTATTTCTACTTCTACATTGAATTCTAATTTAGAACATAACTAAAACAATACCTACCCCCTTATACCTAAATGTACCATTTGTATTGTAACTTTACGATTTAAAACCTGATGTTGCACTTCTATAAAAAGAAGGGTAAATATAGGGTACCTTTACACCAGTTGGTCGAGTTGCAAAAAAAACGGTTATTAATATTATAATTTAAATACAATACAACATCAACTAAAGTTTAAATAAAACGGATACAACACGATTTTAGAATATGTTATATCGAAAAGATGTAGCTAGTTCCCGAGCATGTCAATCGCAATGTAACTAAAAAAAACTTAGTCTTATGAAAGGCATTTTCGTGAGAATTAATATTTATAATAAAAAGGCCAGGGTAAATCACATCGTCAAAGCCAAGACCAAGAGCTGTTTTGTAAATAAACAAGTTAAAGTTTGAAAATTAGATTATGATGTATAGCTATACTTAAAGGTACTCTCACATAAAATTAGCATTAAACACAGGATCTAAATTTTAGAACTGCTTAACTTGTTTTAGGCACTCACTAACCCTTTAGGGCAAATCTATTTTGATATTAACAGTTCACAAAATTATAGTTACCATTCCTAGCAACATTCTACATACATGAAATTTATACAAAAATTGCTTTTTAGTAGTTATTGAATAAATAACTTTATCAAAAACAACAAAACAAGTTATCTTTTACATAAGGCTAATTATAGTGACATACAATCTATATTTTTCAGATGTTTTGGAGAAAAAGTGTCACGTCTTTACAGTTAGCCTCGGTGCTACTCACAATGATAGACGAAGGTGTGTGATGTGCTACAAGATCTGTTCACAACTCTTTGGTTCGCGTCAGGCTAAGAATAAAGCTAAAAAAGTTAAAACATTTTGTGCACAGTGTCCTGGAAAGCCATATTTGTGTTCAGATTGCTTTTCGACAAAACATTGTCTATCATAGCCATTGATAGTATTCCTTTATAATCTATTTTTCATTCTGTGATGCCTACATTAAAATATTCTTAATAAAGACATGTATTGAAAGTTAAACGTAGTATTTGTAAGATAAAATTTAAATATTTACAAAAAACAAAAGCACATTGTTGAGCTTTCGTGTTATTCTTAGTCTTTGAACAAGTCTGGTATCATGGTGCTATCGTAACAGCTGTTTTTCCTATGGCAGGGTAATAATAGCGTGTATTTTACGAAATGTAAAATAAATAAATTCAAAAAAGACAAATAAATCCATGTTTTAATGTGTAACTTTCTCCTACTTCTAGCTTTGTAACGGTTAAAAATAGACAAAAATATTAATATACTTAAATACAATAGATAAAAAAAATTAAGTCTTTATTTCAGTATTCTCAAAATACATTTTCATAAAGTATATTTTCAGATTTGAATTACCAGTTCATACCTTCGGGCCGAGGGAAGTATTGTCTCCTGATGTTGGACAACCATACGTTTAGCCAAGTTAAAAAAGACAATAGATACTGGAATTGCTCCAAGAGAACCACAAAAGGATGTCGGGCCAAGGTCCATTTCGATAGAGATCTGAACATTGTCAGTTATGTTAGAGATCACAATCACAGTCCTCCCAGATATTTATTGAAGAATGGACGATACTTTAAGTTGAGCTAAAATAAAAACTGTCGTAGACCTGAACAGATCTGAACTCTAAAGTTGAAACCTTCAGTATTATGATGCTTAGCGCACAAAAGCGGGTGACGTACAGGATGAAATAAAGAGTTCCAGTAGCTTCTTCGTTTCTTCGTCATACCTGGTTATGACTTCGTAGATCTATTATATATTTATTTTAACATTTTAGCATTTTAGCTGACTTGTTAAGTCAAAAACAAACAGTTAAAATGTTTGTTAAATGTAAGCGAATAAGATATCTAACTTAGACTACTCTATGTACGCAATCACGTAAATTCTAAATATAAATGTTAGATTACTACTAAATTAAATGTAAAATACATGTCGTAATCTGGTCAATATTATATTATATGTACTGACCATTGGTTTTGTTTTATTTTTAATATGATTATATATACATCCTTCATTTTGCGACCTACCTCTGCTGCCATTCATTCCCGTGTTTCGTACCACTTGACTCACAAAGCTTAGCACAACGTCCTGTGTTCCCATAAACAGTAGTTCACCTTGTTCACCGCCACTCTGAAAACTAAGAAACTCTACAACGTGCGCCAAGTTTCGAGACGCCAGACGCGTCTTTCTGAACGAGAATTCAACAAAGCAATCGAGAATTTCCTTCAAGTTGATAAAGAATTGAGTGATTGAGCTGTTTACCAATTCTGCTAAAAAAGGAAATCTAAACTGTAGGTAAAACCATCATTAGTTGTATGATTTTCTTGGCCAGTTCCACAGTTTTGTCTTGCAAAAACTTTATAAATATTTGTATCTAATTGTTATTACCCACCATATATTTTAGAAATATGTAATAAAATACTTGTTCGTCAGTTTTAATATAAATAAATTTAGCGTATTCTAGCGTTTACGAAAATTCAATATTTTATTGCTAAAGTATAAATGAAATCTCTTCATTACAAAGAGGCCACATTGTTCTATTACGGACTCATGGTAACACCAGTGTGAACATATTTTTTTCTTGATCATCACACTGCAATGTATTTTTCACCTCTGGTTTTTGAGAGGAATATACTATAGAGACTTGACATTGCGGTAGTTAATTTTTTAACCAATCGATGAATATAAAACGCATGATTTGGGTTGAAAATCGAATCAGGTAATTCTATGTAACACAGCAGTAACACTCTGCTAATGAAACACTGGACGCTGTTTACCAATAGAGTTTAACTAGGAGCTTTTAAATGTTATTTAAATAATATATAAAAAAAAACTTTTTTCAAATGCAATTTTAACACAGCTGGTAACTTGACAGCTATGTTAGTTGAACAAGATTGTGATCAGCCTGCCAGTTTTTTTTTTGTAATATTAGTAGTCATGAATGATGTAGGTATTGTATACTGTACTTTTATAGTTATACTTACTTGTAGTTTATACTAGTTATTTAGTCACGCTAGTAGCATACGTTTGTAGAAGTAATTGTTGGCAGTTTGTATCTTCACTGCATGAATACACTTTAATATAGGTATATATATACATTTTGGTATATACCTGTTGATATTGGATTACTTAATACTGCCATTAGAATTTTTATTCGTTTAGGATCTGTTAACTTTGTATTGTATGTGTGAACTGGCCTTAGATATGTTTTTTTTGTTTCTATTTAGTTACAGTTGTCACATTGTCTACCGGTAGAACTTTGCTCATAGTTAATGGGTATACTTTTAAGAAGGAGTTAAGCGTCAGTGGTGGGACAAGATGGAATTGTAACGAGCCAAGCCAATGTAAATGCGATGTTTATGTGCAGGTTAATGAGAAATACGAAGTAACATCTATTGTTAACACCCATACTCATGATCCTATACTTTGCAGATTATTTCAAAATAGAATTATGTGATTATAATTTACCTCTTGGTTGTTGATTTTATTGCTAAACGTAACGATCTCATTTATCTAAGAACTTGACTTGTTTTATTATATATATATATATACATATATCTTTAGTTTAGTTTATTGCTTTTATAGTTGTGTTTCATGGTTATTTAATAGTTTTAATAAATTTGTTCTCTTTTAAAGATTCTTTTAATTGTTAAAAATCTATATATTTATGTGTGTTTTATTTATGTTAGTATTAACATATGATGTGAAAAAGTAATAAAGAAAAATAAATTTATGTTTTAAAAATTCACAGATTTTCTTTGCAAGCTGGAGACAGACTTAGAAGATCAACTCGTCTCCTCTAGAGGTCTGATGTATGAAGAGGAAGAACCAGCAGAAGCGTTATACGTTAGGTCTCGTAAAGGAACAGCAGTTCTTCAGTACAAAGGTCATAGGTATAGAAGAGCCTATAGGACTAAGAATGGGACACGATGGAATTGTTCTCTGAACAAAAACTGTGGGGCGTTTATATATCTGAATGATCATGATGAAATCCTCATGTCGTATGAAGAACACGACCACCCAAAGAGGACTGAAAATCGCACTGTAGTGGACCAAAATGGTAATTGCTGTTTTTTTTAGTAATTGTTTTTAATCAGAACATTTAGTATCTTATATCACCTTTCAGAAGTTTTCGTATAAAATTGAACACTTTTTTTAAACAAGGCCTTCCAAACCTAAAATGTTATCCGTCATCAAATTCTACTAAACTAAAGAGTGCGCTGTCATGTAGTATCACCAAAATTTATTTTATTATTATTTAATATAAATATGGTATTATAGATACAGCAGTAGTCATCACATCTCGCAAAGGTAAAGAGATGCTCCTGTTTCGTAAGTATACTTATCGCAAGCAATACGACAAAGGGAACAAGTCTCGCTGGATCTGCTCGACCCTCAAGAATTGTAGGGGCTGTGTGTTTACAGATAGCAATAACTTAATCATTTCGGCTTTCGAAGAACACTGCCACAATCCTCCTAAGTACTACTTGAAACCAGATCACGTCCTTAGCGCATTGAGAGAGCCTCTCATCATAGAGACAGATTGATTGAGGTGATGTTGTAAATAAATTAGTATTAGGTTCTTTTATTTCATTTAATTGTGTAACGAGTGATTTAATAAAAATCTTGAATAGTACCCTGATTTTTTATTTCTTAATAAAAAAGCCTCTAGCCGTTATACAAAAAAAAAGATTGCTACACAACTCCTGTTAAATCTTTTTAAACTAGCTATATCTAGCATTTATTACATACAATTATTTAGCATTAAAACCAGTAATTTAATATGAGTCTTAGTTTCTTACTTCATATAATAATATAATTTACATGCCATTTTCAGCTTACAAAATAATATCGAAGCGCGGGCGACCTCTAATCGTGTATAAAAACTACACGTACTCGCGCTACCCATACCCTTTGAAAGTTGGCTGGCGATGGTACTGTTCAAGAGTGAAGAACTGTAGAGCTTGCATCCTAACCACTGACGACAACGACATCATAACAGCTACGGGACAACACAACCATTTGCCTACTAACTGCTATTATTTTAAGTAGTATTATCCAACTCTACTAGTGGTCAGCGGTCACCTAGAAGTCGAAATTCGACATAAATAATTTAATTATTATTAACTAAATAACAGAAGGTCAATTCTCGTAACAAAAATTCGTTCAAAATTCAGTTCCTATCTACACTCGACCTCACAAATGTCATAAAAGGTAAAGTATTATTGAGACTAGCACACTACGGGTCAATACGATACACATTACAGTCAACGTTGGATGTTTTATACTTTACTAAGAGAATATTTTTATAACATTTGTCACGTCGAGAGTACATCAGCATTTTAAACGAATTTTCATTCAGAATTGGCCTGTTTTAAATTTTTGTAATGATAATATCAGGTTATATTAAAAAATTAATAAACAAAACAATTTTGTTTGGAAAATAGAGAAAAATAAATTCAAGTATTTGTTACATTTATCAAACCGTAATTACTGTAATCAGATGAATGTGATTGGGAATAGTATATTAATCATTCTGGCTAAAGATATGGTTTTCTTGATTATATTAAGTAACATTGAAATATATTAGTAATATATAAGTTATAATAATTAATTATATTAAATAATAAAAACTATGTTAAATTTTGAACTTAATATTAAGTAAGTACATGTCTGTCGGCTAAGCAGTTTTCTTAAAGTACATGCCACACAAGTCGATTTCGATTTTGGTGTTTTCAAGGGTTCGAAGATCTGTGTATTCTTTTAAGAGATGTGATTTGTGAATACATTAAAAAAACATATAGGTATTACACCTTTCGAGTCGTTATAACAGAATAACATTAAAAATAACCTAAGCCAACGTCGACTATATGAATACTTCTCCAACTAAAGTATAATTAAAAAAGTGGCAATAATCACCTGTTATAATAAAATAGATATATTTATTTCATAGACGCTATGTTAGTGTGTGTTGGTATGTAATTAATTATTAAGCGTGCCTTTGTAACGTAGTGCACTTGTTAATTAATACTAATATAATTAATAAATCAAATTGTTTATACATGTATTTTAATAAAGTATTCTAAGCTGATAGTTGTTTTTAAGATTTTTGTATCTTACCACTGAATTAGAATAATGTCGAATTAGACATTTTACTTTCATAGTGTCCCTTTGTATTTTTATATATTAAGAAATTTCCATGTCTACAAAGACTGGCCAACCAGACCAACAGTCTAGTGGCTAGTTCATAATGACTACTAAGCCAGAAGTCATAGATTCGCTTCCCATACAAGACACAACAAATATTGTGTGATGAGCACATGAAAATTTGTACTGTAGCCGGGTGTAGTTTATGTATTAACTCGTATTTATCTAGGTGTAGATTATATATACTGTAATTTTGAAAGGCTTACAGATTGTCTGAGAACTGAATCGACTTAAACGAAGGTCTCGCTTATTATACTACAAAATATTATCAATGTTGCATTGTTTATGGTAACTTTTTTATGAGTAACAAAAAGTAGTAGTCAAATATTTTAAAATTAGTGCTAAATAAGCCTAACCCAGAAGTAATAACGGTCAGTAGATAACTTGGAAATGGTACCTAAGTTTTAATGTATTATTTTTTAATTAAATTTACTTGATTTTTTATATATATTATTCAAATAAATTGTATCAGTATGCGATGGTGTTCAATAGTCTACATCACTAGCTGTGGTCTCTTTAGACTTTCTACTCGAACATTTTATCCTAGGGATCGTAACTTATATGTATACGTAATACAATGTACAATGTAATAATAATTATACGTAAAAAAATACATAAGACTTTATGCGTTGTTGTAAAATAATAACTTCACACATCTCTCACACGGCAGTCTGACCAAACTAGGTAGAGCATGTACTACGGTGATAAGATGGCTGATAAACATACTTATTTATTACTAAATACATACATATTGTAGATAAATTACACCCAGACACAGAACAAATGATCGTGATCATTACAGAATATTTGTCCTGGGTGGGACTCGAACCCCAGCTTAGCAGTCACGGTCACTAACTATTAGACCTACAGGCCCGTCAAAAAATAAAATACGAAAAATTTGATAAAAAAAAAGAACTGTATCATTAAAATGAAGATACAATTCTTTGCATTTAAATGAATTTAAAATACCGTAAAACTTAAATACCCATAGTTTTTATGCTTTTAAGATACTCGAAGCTGAACACCAGTTGGATTTATGTAAGACGACTTTTAATAATATTAGCACAACTATTAACAGTGGTTTTATAGCAAGAATTTATGAGGTAACACCTAGTCAACCCACAAATTTACTCCCTATTTTGCCTTTAACACCAACTGAAAATCTTATTACAAATATGAATTTAGATCAATGCGCTTACGAGTTTTCTCACAAAATTATCTGTTACAGAATCTTCTTTAGACGAAACACCAATGAAACTCCAAATAATGTGGCACCTTCAACTCCGGTATTCAGGCATTTATCAGTTTGTGATACTGAAGAGCAAACATCTAGTGGTGTCAGTAGATCTAATACGCCACAGCTCAGTAACACTTCGGGTCCAGATTCTTCTGATTGTTCGTCCAATGAACCATCCGGCAGGATACGAAGAAAACGGCAGCGTCGTTATGATGAGTGGAAAGATATCAAAAGAAAACGTTTGAAAAATTTAGGAAAAGCGTACTTAAGTAGAAATGGAGTTCTAAGAGATGGTAAAATTTTAAAACCACCACATCCAATTACTTGCCGTCTTAAGTGCTATCAAAAGTTTAATGCACAAGACCGCAACCGCATATTTACTTCATTCTGGCAAATTGGCGATCATTGTAGACAATGGGATTACATCGTCAATCATACCAAAGTAAACTTTACTAATAATTTTTCTAGACGAAAGAAGTCGATAAAGTATTGCTTACCCCTTCTGGAATCAAACTCTGATATACCTAATAAAGTATCAGTCTGTAGAACAATGTTCTTGAATACACTATCTGTAGGGGAGAGAACAGTTCAGACAGCATTGGCAAAATGGCGCTCTGTTAGTGGGTCTATTTCTCCTGATCGACGTGGTCGTGGTGACAACAAAACTATTGTCATAGACGATGTGAAAAAACAGGGAGTTTTAAGGCATGTCAAATCTTTCAAACCAGTAGGATCTCATTACGTTCGCAAAAAATCTACTAAAATTTACTTAGATAGTGATCTTACATTTCCCAAAATAATATATTTAATAATAATACAACGGTAAGACAGTATCGTGATATCATAAATCAAAATTTAAATCTATCATTTCACAAAGCTTAAAAAGACATGTAACGTGTAACCAACAATTCAATACAAACAAAACTGCAATGACTGAAGGAGAAAAACCGAAACAAGAAAATCACAATCACAAAATCAACACAAAGTCTGACCAAAATTGGGAAACAAGTAATATCGAGCAAACCTCGTGTCTTAAACTATCGTTACCACTTTGAAGAAGAAAATATTATGAGCTTCATACCTAAAAATAATTATTCGTCAAGAAGGAAAAATGAAAATAGTTGATTAAACAAATAACTTTTGAACTTTTGATCACTTATCTTCTGTGTTGGCCAAATATAATGATTTGTGATTTGTTGTCTATGTCAAGGACGTGCAAGAGTATAACAGCACAGGCACTGTAGAACATTAGAGTAGCAACTCATCTGAATAGTCGTCGAATAGTCGGATTAATTTTATTTTAGTTACAAATACAAAATAAAAAGTGTTTAAATTTATTTATTTTGAAGAGGTTCGTACTTAATTTAAGAACATGGTGGGTATTTTCTTTATTATATTGAACTAAATTAAAATTTTGATTTGTGAACACGGTTTTTTTTACCTTGCAGAGAAAAACTGGAGGTGTTGATTTTAAAATAATGATGTTTCAGACATCTTTGCTAGTAATTTTGTAATGAGCACTACTTAGACAGACACTTATTTTGTCCCGTTACAGCAACCAGAGCCTCAATTCTTCTGTTTTATGTTAACGTACAAGCCCCTGTCGTTCCATTGACACACTTTTGAGATGCCATTGACATCTGTCAAAATATCGGTATTCTACTAACATATAAATTCACTGTGTCAGTTGCGATGTAGTAACAATGGCTCATCAATCGTGATATAAACAATATTGCCATATCTGGAAAATTAAATATATATATTTAATTTGCCAGATATAGCAATATTGTTTATATCACGATTGATTGATTTCCTTACAAATTTAAAATGTACATTTTAAATTTACCTTTTTTACATTTTAAGTTTACAAAACTATTACAGACATCGACGACTTTTGTATAAGTGCAGCAGTTCAGTGAAAAGTCATCGGGATGGTCTCACATAGTTAGTAGAATACAAAAAGTGCAAAACTATTCCGACGACATTCTATTGATACAATATTAAAATACCAGAATTGAGGCCCTGATATGATAATAATCTTTACTCTTTTGTAACATTTAAATAACGTTACATAAGATGTAATTCTGAAAAAATGTGATATTAGAAATGCTGAATATAAAAAAAAAACAATGTTATGTTTTCATAGTTATATTTATTTAATATTTTGTTTGTTTCTTCTATATACCTTACTTTTACAGAAATTACTGAAATCGTATTAGTATATATATAATATCTAACAAAAAAAAAACTAGAAACGCGAATAGGTCAGATATGGATGTAAAACAATAATAGACCTCACACATCAGACACGGCTATCTGATCCCACACTAGGCAGATCCTGTACTATGGGAAACAGACTGCTGGTTAATTTACTTATATGTAACCAAATACATACATAAATTACACCCAGACACAGAACAAATTATCGTACTCATCACACAATTATTTGTCCTGGATAGGAATCGATCCCACGACATTTGGCTTAACAGTCAGTGCTACTAACCACTAGACCTAGACCAACAGGCTCGTCATAAAGGAGTTATGTATAAGTTTTTTACACGTTAATGCCCAGCAGTAGCAGGACGGTCATAATTATTATTGATGCCGTTTGTGCGCTTTGTACGGCGTTGATTTAATAAAAAACAGTAATTTTTTGCAGTTGATAAGTAGGTAAACTACGAAAATCCAAATTATTAAAACCAGAATGAAAATGTTATTTATAAATTCTGCTGGTACAGATGTTTCTAAACATATATACATACACTCACGTCTTTTCAAGCAAGTAAGCTCAAGTGGCAATGGGTTGGCCATAGTAGACGCAGAACCGGCAACGGTTGGGGTAAACGAGTTCTTGAGACAGCGTTCAGGCAAACGTAGTGTAGGACGCCCAGAGGCCAAGAGGAGTGATGATTTGCGCAAGATGGCTCTCAGGAATTGGATGCGAGAAGCCGAAAATCAGATCGGAATCGGAGGCATATGTCCAGCAGTGGACTGCGATAAGCTGATGATGATGATATATTCGAAGAGGCGTATGAAACCCCCAACTTTACTACTATAATGTTAGTCCCACTTACGCAATGGGGGGCAAGCCTATTGCCGTCATTCATGTATATTTAAAAATATACATAATACAGATAAATTACACCCAGACACAGAACAAAATTTATCGAGCTCATCACATTATATTTTGTAACTAGCTGACCCGCGCAACTTCGTCTGCGTCTCTCAATAGTAATAAATTTTCTCCGTTTTTGAAACATTCTTTATTGGTGCTCCGCACCTATTGGTCTTAGCGTGATGATATATAGCCTATAGCCTTCCTCGATAAATGGGCTATCTAACACTGAAAGAATTTTTCAAATCGGACCAGTAGTTCCTGAGATTAGCGCGTTCAAACAAACAAACAAACAAACAAACAAACAAACTCTTCAGCTTTATAATATTAGTATAGATGGGTGGGGAGTCGAACCCACAACCCTTTGTAGTCAGGTTCGCTAACCTTAGACGAACAGGCCCGTCCCCTGCAGATGTGTTACATTTGTATGTAAAAGCTTTATCAGGAATGTTGAATAGATGTCTATTATTTTTGCACGCAATAAACGCTGAAAAATTTGTTTAAAAGTTTGCACTCAGATAGTTTATAACCTGGATTAGTACATAGAAAATCCTTACCTTGGTAAACGAATTTCTAGTGAAATTACTGTTTTGGTAAACGCGTTCGAATATTGTACATATGGAAATATTATGACCAGAAACAAACTGGAAATTCATCCACGTGTGAATGCCTTACTCCTCCTTAATTATTTGGGTAGATTTGTCATAGGTAAAGTCATCAATCATCATTTTCAACAACCTTTAATAGTCCTGCATAGTTTGCTCCCTTAGTCGACTCGTTCACCCACGGGATGAATGGATGTGGTGACACTACGTATTATTAATCCGTCACCCTGGGGTGGATTAAGGTGAAGTGTTAGTGTAAAACAACTGAAGCGAGTGGAACAGTCGATCGTCCTTTTTTGTTTCTAGCGAATTAGTGGTTCACTCTGAAATGCTAAGATACAGAGGAAGCATTAAATACCACTACTAAAAAATACTACTATCAGGCCATTAAATAATTATCAAGCATCTTCTAAGCATTCAAAGTTCTCAATCTTTAACAGGACCATCCGTTCGGCCTGGCACTTCCAACAGTTCCTTTCGTTCCAGCGGTCACCCGCATGTTTTGACGAAACTTCCACGACGTCACGGCAACAGAATATTTAGAAAACGTTGTACTGGTTGTTATAAACTACTGACTGAACAGGGTCACACAGCGCAAGAAGCGCGTAGAAAGGCGAAGAAAACAGATACTCAATGTGAAGTATATAATAAAGCTTTGTGCCTTAGTTGCTACAATTCTTCTCATTATTCTTAATTTTGTTTTATAAACTATTTTAATTTTATTGCCAAGATTTACATAAATACAAAACATATTGAAATTGATTGCATAATGTCGGTGTGATTCAATCCACCCATATCTATTCCATTTTCTTCCGTTTAATACCAAAAGCAATGTTGTGCGCAGTATGCTAAATCTTAAATTTTTCCAATCATTATTAATTATTGTATTTGTATAGTAGTGTAGTGGTCGTGAACAGCTGTAAATGGCTTGTTATAAACTGCCCGTTAACATTTTCGTAACTGTTGGTTTCCCTACTGAAGTAAATAACTAATTATATTATTGTTTTATTTTTGTCTTTTTTTGGCAGTGATTATTTGGCTATATGTCCTCCTGGTACGAAAACCTCTAGGTATAGCTTTTCGTTAATAATTTCATAGGTCACATGTGTTAGGCAATAAGAATGCTTTAGCTCATTCGTGCGAGATTTGACAAGAGTAAAACTTTGCACTGGGGACTATCCCACATGTAGTGCATTCTTGAATCACCTAGACCACGAAATGCCCCATATGTGGGTCATGCACAGGGAACATGCTTAAGTAAACTAGGTCAAGCGGCATAGATGCTACTCTCCAGAAAATCTATTTGTGCATTCTCGACTCGCCTAGACCACGAAATGCCCCATATGCGGGTCATGCACAGGGAACGTGCTGAAGTAAACTAGGTCAAGCTGCATAGATGCTACTCTGCACAAAATCTATTTGTTTATAATACCTATGTGTAATAAAGTATAAAAGCAAAATATTAAAAAAAAAAACAATATTTCCTTTCAGTAAGTTCCTTGGGATCAACACAATATATATTTCATATTGTCAATGCTGGAAAGCATTATCTTCAATTTTTTTTGTGGCTAGAAGCACACAAGAATTTTTAAAAATAAAAGTGGCATGTACAAGGACAATTTATTAAAATGATATAAAAACTAAGTTTATATAAAGCATTGTAGACAAATAATATTGAGTATTACAATCAGTCTTATTTTAGTTCCTGTCAGTCGATAAGAAGGAATATAGGTCCTTTAACATTCAGCCATATAAAACTTAATCTAAAATTATGATAAGTACCCATAACATCCAACTTTATAACTAAGTAAAAAACAGATGAGGTAGAACATTTTTATTTACCTTAATACCAATATATGATTCTTGTTTATGTAAAACAATATAAAACTAAAGCTTAACAAAATCTATGAGGTAGACAGTCTTACTTCAGTCTCGGAGTTTAAAATCCCTTAGCTTCATTTCAGGCTCAAGTAAGTATAGTGTATTAACTAATAGTTAATAATTAAAATTCCTTAAACTAATTGGTTTACCATCAACTTACTTATTAAATGATTATAAAACATATGGTATACATTACCCTCTTTTTAAAAAAATTTGTTGATTTATGTAAAATAATTGCGATTATATTTTCTGCCACCAAAATTTAGATTTGTCACTAATCTGTAATATCCTATTTATTATACTGTACCTGTAATTGATATTAGGGTTACCATTGGGCCCGTGCCTGCCAGGCATGATCACCTCATTCGGTCAGGGGATACTCCCTGTGTTGGACGGACATAACACCAGTTCCTTCCCATTTATACTCTATTCTAGGTTACCGTTTTGATAATATTTGGTGATTCAATTTTGGTGACAGATCTACTATTTTTGTAACAAATATTATTTATTAGACCATTGAAAATACATTTGTGATTGATAAAATCATACCCTAAAATAATATCATGGTACTTAATGTTTAGACAAGTTTATAGCACACCTATCAACCATAACAACCACAATAAATATCCAAGAGTCATGTGTACTCTGTTGTATAAAAATGTTACATTTAATGTTATATGTAAAACTAAATGGATTTAAATTTAATAAATGCATATTTGTAAAGTAAACATGTCCCCTTCACGTAAACTAAACTAAAATATAACAAAATATATTAGGCATTAAGAATCAGTCTTCAATTTCTCTAGTACAGCAAGATTGTATATGATGGTACATGTATAATTTAAAAAAAAAAAAACAATCTAAACAACTTTAAAAGAACCATCATTACGACGGTAGAACCCATGGGCTGGATGGTTATGTTCATTACGTACCCGTTTGATGACATTGCCGAGACGATGCACAACTGTTGTTACATCCACATTGCAGCCAGTCTTTGTACGTGATGTGCAGTACCACTGCTTCTTCCCGTAAGCAAGTTTATTCTTTAGACGAAATGCATAACCTTCGTGGACCAACAGTAAGCTCCCTTTGCGCGTTGGAATAAAATTTGCCACTGAAAGTGTATGAATGAAGTTAATAAATGATGTCGAACTCTCGTGCTCAGTGAACATTTGAAAGGTTTTTTAATAAAAGAACAATTTAATCTATCAATTTTATTGTAAGTTACACGTACAAGGTACATACTTATTTATAAAAGTATCATAATATATGTGTAACATATTTTTAAGAAAGTTCTTCATTGCTTTTCTATATATATTTTTTATGTATGTGTTTAGTTTTTACTATGAATAATATTAGTGCTTGTCGTAGATAAACTTTCTAAAAGTATTCGCGCGCTTATAACCTTCAGTACTTGTCAACTGATTTAAACACAATAACTATAATATTAATAATGGCATAAATGACAAAAATGATCGAATAACATAACATTTAGTTCTTAACAACCTAGTTGTATAAATACTTAAACAATAACACTTTTACACTATTTACAAAATTATTTCACTCGTGATCATCACTATAACTTCATGAAACATGAAAGAAACACAGACGCTGTTGTTTTTTGTTTATCTCCGTCTACGTTGTCTGTGGTCTCTAAGTCTTATGTAGTCGTAACCTCGGTCGTCGAAAACATCGACAATATGTTAATAATCTGGATACATTCATAGCTTTGTTAATATGAATATAACTCCCTCCAAATTAAGAATATATCCTGTCTCGGGGGTATAAGAAACGAAGATACAAAGAACATCCAGACTGAGAACAACAATTTCTTGATTCGTGGATTTACTTTCGTAGTAAAATATTACTAAGATTACCGATTCAACTTTCGGTCACAATAGGATTTTATCAAATTACAGTCAATGTTGGATTAATAATATTTTACTATGGAACCTTTTTTACAGGTGTTGTATTAGGGGTTAAAATGTGAAATTGCCGATTTGCACTATTTTTTTTTAACTTTTCTTCTAAGACGTTAAATATTTACGCTCATTATCTATACATTGCTGCCATTTAAACAGAAGTTCATTTATATCTTTACGATAGAACTCTGGTGATCTAGATTCGACAAATTATCGGAATTCGTATTCAAAATTGACTCGGATTTTTGAAGTATCCTTCTTTCACGTCTACGCTGAATAAAAAAAAAACAATTGAAAGTTGAGAATCGAATGTTGCACAGTTTTTTAAAGACGAATCGCATAGGGATCATGTGAAAAATATTTCACACGAAAATCTCACACCATTAAGGTTTTATGTCAATTCAAAGTATCTATTACTATACAACGGTAATTTCATACTTTAACCCCTAAGATTTTGAATTAAATACTTAACTTCGGGTTTGAAGAAAATGACCATGAGCATTATTTAAATATCGTTATTGAACACTCGTTTGATTTCAAGTATTGTTAAACACAATGTTGTGATTGTATAGAACCACAACAGAATCTGTTCTAGACCATAAAGTAATGACAGCCGTCAGTGTTGTCAAGTTGACAGTTTGACAAACGTGTTTTGTTGTAAAGAAAACAGTAGTTAAGCGTAGTATTTAATCGAATTTTTATTAGAATTAAGATCAGTTTGTGATATATGTGCATTATATAATTTGATTTCTACTTAAAATTACCACTATGGTTTCTTTAAAAGGTTTATGTGCTTGCAAATTTGTTAAAGTCAGTTCAAAAGTTGTGTAATGTGTAAATAAAGTTCATATTAAAGAATTAGTTATTGTGATCATAGTAATGGATGGGTATAAGTTCTTGCTTTTAAATTAATTATTCGTCTTCATTAGGTTAAGATTTAAATAAGGTAACTTTTATTAATCAATGTAACCTGTATACAATTAATAACCCTTGATATAAAATAATATGTTTACTTTTGTGAGTAGAAATAAAATTTAAATGGTGTAAGAAAAATTTGCCCACAATTTGACGTTAAGATCAGTTTTTTAATGCATACTACTTCATATTCTTGCACTACTACATTACAGTAAATGCTATGTACACAGTAATTGTCATACATATCAGATATATTTCCACATATTATTAAAATTAGTTATAAGTATAATATGTATGATGTGGTAGTACCTTTTAATAAATAAAATAAATATTGTAAAGTTAACACAGCCTTGCTTAGGTGACTTACCATCCAAATTGAAAATACTATAAGAAAACTGTTAATTTAACTTCATTTCTAAAGAAAAATGCACTCAAACTCAAAATGTTCACCTAATTGAGATTAGATTCAGTATAATTATTAAATCCAATCTTAATTAGGTTTAAATTGATCAACTTATCAATTTATGTTAAGATAACAATTATTTAGGAGCTACCTCAAGGTTACTATTTGAGCACTTTTCTGAATCATTTTTCTGCTAACTATTGCTAATTATTTGAAATTAAGACATTATGTTTTTGATATTTAATTAAATTTAAGTACAACATTTACTTATGACAATTAAAAAAGATTAGAAAACCATATTGGTTTTCTAATTTTTAAATGTACTACCTGAATATTCTGATTTTAGACATTTTAGAATTATAAAAGTTACTACAATTTTTTATAGAATATTTATAAGAAGTATTTAAGATTTTTATAGTCAGTTAGAGTACTCAAACCTTCTGGGCAAAGCCAATTCCATTTAAATGTTTGCAAACCTAACTTGATTGAGATATAAATTTCTATTTGCCAAGCCCTCCATGTAAAACCACCACTTTCAAACCTTACCTTTAAATGTACTGCCAAAGATTTCCATAAAATTTATTGATATGTTAATTTTGGCTTGAGTTTTATACTCAAGCCAAAATTAACATCTCAATAAATTTGTTGTTACATTTATTAGTAGTTATTTGTTACATTTATATCTTAAAGCATAAGATTTTTCATTGTTTGTTTTTTGAATAAATTAAAACATAAAATGTGTAACAATATAACATGAGAAGTAATATGAAGACAATTTGCGTTTCACTATTTCAAAACTGACCTTTGATCCATAATTTTGAAACTAATTTCCTGGTTGGAGTTTAAACGAACCTCCCATATCTTGCTAAGTTGTTGTTATTAAATTGTTAACCACATATATTATTTGTTTGATTGTCCTTCCTCTTAGCATGTGAGCTTCAAAATCCACAATTGGCTATGAGTTACATATTATTTTTATTTTCAGGTATATTTATAAACACCCGAGGGAACTCTAAACTTTTTATATATCAGAATCACACGTTCCGGTTCATGTATAAGAAAGCTTATGGAAGTCAGCTCTGGTACTGTTGGTATTTCTTCAGTCGGTGTTGTCCAGCCAAATTACGGATAAATAACGCTGGAAAAGTTACAGAAAGCATCGGCAGACATAATCACGATCCACCAACTTGTTGGATGACTCCAGATGGAAAGTCCTACAATCTCCCACCTCTTCCTGACAAAAGCACGTCCAGTAATGCATAGCTAATAAAAAAGTATTTTGAAACATTTCGTTTCACTGCCTTTATTTTGTTGTGAAATAAACGAACTGCCTCTATACGAAGCGGACCTTACCAAACTCAACTCGGAAAAATGACAATTCTTTATACTTTTGAGTTATTTAATATTAAGTTATCATAGTTTATATTTCACCTACTGCTCGATCTCTTTATTTTGTATTGTAATAGCGTATATATATCGGTTAGTAAACCTGCATGTACGTTCGTTTCATACACATAAAAGTATAATTTATATCCTGTTAACACATATACATTCCTTACTCATAAATACATACAAATATTTACTAGCGCCTATAAATCCTAAAAAGGGCAGTCAGATGGGCATGCAAGCACAAGCATATTACACATACATACATTTCCAAAAATCTACAACTTCACATCTCATAGCCAAGCAAATTCCGGCTCTGTTAGATTGTTATATATTCTACTCTATGCGTCTCGTTAGGAATATGCAAATCGAGTTTACTACTGTTGTTGTTGGAAACCACTGGACAGTATCACTGATCTTTTACTATAAATCAAACATTCGATTGTATAGATAAACACATAAGTAATATTGACGAAATTGAGGTGTCTTACTCTTGTAGATCCATGCCAGAAAATTGTAAAAATATTATCACAGCAGATTCCCTAAAAATACTAACTCAAAATATTTGCAGTATTTCAGCAAACATTCATAATTTTCGAACGTTAATATGTAGAATGTCCATACTACCAGACATTGTCATACTTACGGAGGCCTGGTTGTCATGCAACCCCTATATACCCACACTAGATGGATACTGTTCATACTCAACTTCTAAACGAATAAATCAAAATGACGGAGTGGTTGTGTATGTTAAAAGCAATATAAGTAACATCAATGTGACAGAAATCGATTTTGCCGATGCCAGTTGTCTCCAAATAAGAATTGGAGAGAGTACCTGTATTTTTGCAATATATAGGTCACCATCTTTTAAAGATATCTCCAACTTTCTTTGCTCTTTAGACGAAGTACTTACCCTAAATTCTTCTTACAAAAATGTAACGGTCATCGGTGACATTAATATTGACATTTCAGATGGGAACATAGACAACACAGCATCAGATTATTTAACTCTGAACGCTAGTCATGGTCTACTTGCTGCCCATAACTTAGTTACTCGTCATAATAAAACCTGTCTTGACCATGTCTTTCTAAAAACAAAACTTAAAGCTAAAACTATTGTTATAGATTCTACTGTTACGGACCATAACGCTGTTTTACTAACACTAGAAAAGGTCAAAATCGACAACGCACACAAAACTTTAAATAAAACCGATTATGTTGAATTGGAAAACCATCTGAAAAATAGTGAACTTTCCTATATATACGAATGTACTGACGCAAATGTTGCGCTTAAATATTTTATTGATATAGTTGCCAGAGCTATACAACTGAGTACTTCAGCCTATAGTGTGCCGCATCGTTTGAAAATCACCAAACCATGGATTACACCAGGCGTTTTAAGGTGTATGCGCAACAGGGATAGGATGTATTTGAAAATGAAAAAATCGCCAAACAACGATGCCATTAAGATAACCTACAAAAGATACCGGAATTATTGCAGCAATATCTTAAAAAGCCTGAAAAGACAGTATGAGAGGAAGGAATTAAATAAAGCTTCAACTAATCCCAAGAAGATGTGGCAGGTAATTAGAGACGTAACTAATACCAATAAAACAAAAGTTACTGCTAGTCCATTGTTAAAAATTAACGGCAGTATTGACGACTCCCTTGCGGAAATTAATAAGTTTTTTACTACGATTGGGCAAAATATAGCTAATAAAGTCTCCCAAACATATGCTAATATTCCCAGCACATCGGACATTACAGTTTCAGATGTTGCATCGGACTCTCTTGTTTTTCTGCAAACTGATGAACTGGAAGTAGAGCAGATGATACTAGACTTACGTACTGATTGTGCAACTGGTATTGATGGTATATCTGCTAAACTCATAAAACAGTTTAAGAGTATTTTTGTTCCACCTTTGACATATATTTTTAACTTATGCATAAATGCAGGTGTTTTTCCGGACCTTTTTAAGAGGGCCCTTATTCACCCTATATATAAGACGGGGGATGTAGATCGTATCAATAATTATAGACCAATATCGGTCTTGCCCTCCTTGTCCAAGATCTTGGAAAAAATCATTAACACCCGCCTTAAGAAATATCTTGAAGAAAAGGATATTATCTCCATCAATCAATACGGCTTCAGAAGTAATAGATCCACAAATGATGCAGTGCACGAACTCACTGAAAATATTGTTCAGGCATTGGATAGACGCAAGAAAAGTCTTGCAATTTTCTTGGATCTGGCTAAGGCCTTCGACACGGTCTCCATTCCCAAACTAATTCTCAAATTAGAGCGTATCGGTGTTAGGGACCAACAACTGAATCTTTTTATAAGCTATCTGACAAACCGAACACAATGTGTAAAGATTGGTAGGTACGTTAGCAGAGAACTTCCCATAGAATATGGTGTACCACAGGGAAGCATCCTTGGTCCCACACTCTTCTTAGTTTATATTAATGAAATGTGCAAATTAAAACTAACAAATGGCAAACTCTTGGCATTTGCTGATGATACCACGCTTATTTTTACGAGCCAAACGTGGGAAGAAGTTTACGATGCGGCGCAAACCGGTTTCAATAGAATAACTAAGTGGTTAGCAGAAAACACACTGGCAATTAATGTCGACAAGACTAAAATCATAAGATTCCAAATTAAAAAAAACAGTATACCAAATAGATTTTCTATTACGGCACATAACCACACTACATGCTGTTATCTGACATGCAATTGCCCTCAGTTACAAGATGTTGCTACCATTAGGTACCTAGGTGTAATTATAGACGAAAGTCTTAGTTTCGTGCCGCACATTGAACTTTTAACAGGTAGAATACGTAAACTCATCTTTATTTTCAAATACCTAAGGCATGTTGCAGAACCAAAAATCCTGAAAACAGTTTATTATGCCTTGTGCCAGTCCTTGTTGGGGTATTGTATCTTATCATGGGGTGGTGCTCTAAAGACTAAATTTATTAAGTTAGAGCGCGCACAGAGGGCTGTATTAAAAGTGTGCACCTTTAAACCATACCGCTATCCTACAAAAGAACTGTATGAGCACTGCGAAGTTCTAACAGTGCGTCAACTTTTCATTCTACAAATATTACTAAAGCAACATTCGTTAAATCTCAAATCTCATCATCTTTCGGTATCTCCGCGATCAACTTCACGCAGGCTTAAACTTCCACCAGCTGACAGGCACAGGACATCTTTTAGTCATAGATTCTTTGGCTTTCTCGGACGATTCACTTACATAAAAGTCAACAAAGTTTTAAAAATTGACTGTAAAAATAAATATGAATGCAAAAGGATTGTAACAGACTGGCTGCTAAAACTAAGCTATGATGAAACGGAAGAACTTCTTCATCCGATATTATGAATTAAAACGAAATCAAAATACAAACATAACAAAAACCCACACACTGACACCGAGATCAACAGAAACGGATCACGGAACCCAACACACGCATACACATACACACGCAACACGTGCACATACACATACACACGCACACACACACACACACACACGCACACACACACACACACACACACACACACACACACACACACACACATACCTAAGTTAATTGCATGTTTTTCTTGCTTTCAAGCTATTGTAGTTTAGATTGTTCTTATTGCATCTTTATTGTTTTATAACCAGCTAAAAATGTATTTTTGTGATACTGCAGAGGTTGCTGGTACTTATAGCACAGGTTATCCTATTTTAAGTACCAGCAGAACACTATATAATGTTATTTGTGTTTGGACTATAATCTCGAAATGTCTAACCTGTATATACTAATTTGTGGCAATAAAGAATTTTATTTATTATTATTATTATTATTATATTTCAAACAAGATGAGATTTTTATTTGTTTTTAATGGAATGTTAAGTTTATATCGAAAGTTTAGTTATTATACACATTTTAGTTTAGTTTTCGAAACCTTGATGGAAAGGTTTACGTTATACTAAGTCTATGTTTTTAATGTGTGTTGAGTGTTCTGATGAGTGTAAAAGAGATATACACCATGTTAATGTGACTCGTTTAAAATGACTAAAGTTTGTTCACTAAAGAAAATTATAACTTGAGGGGTTTAGGTACCTATTCATAAACATGTTACATGAAATTATGCACTATTATTGAAAGGTTCAATAACATGAAAGAATGTAAGGATAAATACTTCTGTAATAAAATTGTACCAATGTATGGAATAAGTGAAGTTACTGGCGCTCAAACCTCCATTCCCACTGGTTCTGGGGGACTCAAAAGACTCACTTATGGCTCTTGAGTTGAAGGTATCAATTATTTTTACGAAAGTTAGATTTCATAAAAATGTCTGAATAAAAATCTTTAAAAGTGCAAATATATTCCTAAAAGTTGTGCCTAATTACTTTATGTTATTTGTGAAATGACTTAAGTACCTAATTGCAGAAATCATTTCATTCAATCATTGTCTTTAATAGATATTTATCTTGTACCTAGAAGATAAAATTAATATCAGAAGATAAAAATATGTTTAAATTACTTAAGTGTCAATGAAAATATCAATTTCCAGTCTATCTTTCTTTGTATCTAGGTATATATTTTATATTACGACTATATAAAGTTATTTTTTTATGTATGTGTTGCAGTCTTTTTAAAGTTCTTTTAACACTTTTGTAAGAAAAAAATATCTATCTTTACTATTATCATAGCTTCGCTTCGCACAGAGCAGTGCTCATTTCAATAAGTATGAATGTCATTCCTGTAACTGTTATCTTCATTGCATTTAACGTTGTTCTTTAACTATTTGTTGTTGGTAGTTTCACGAACAATAATAGGTAAGATATGACTGATCAAGTTTTTAATTTCTACTGTTGTGCATTCAGTCGAGATATGAACGCCTGATTCTGTTTATAATAAGCTGATTTTCCTGAATCTTGAATTGCGAATGTATTGCTTGTGCTTGATAGATGGGCCGGAGAAATACCCAACTACCTACTGTTAGATTATTATGTATGATTAGTCTGTGTTTACATGAATGTCTACTTTTATATAAATGAGATTATACATATGTAATTAGCACTTGTAAGTTCGTTTTAAAAAGAAAGTTCCATTTGTATTATAAATACTGTGCCTTTAAGAGTTTTTATGTAAACCAAATATGAAATATATTACGTACCTACAAACCTTCTCTTTTTTCTTCCTTTGTTTTCTTTTTTTTTAAAGTGCGTTTATAGTTTTTATTGCATGCCACTAATAATTTATATCTTTTGACACATACCCTGCTGGCCACCTGTTGCGTAATTGGGACTATAATTATTGGGACAAACTTCTCTACTACGCCTTCGGTGATAAATATTAAATGTATGTAAGTAAGCATGTATGGATGTAAGTATTTACATTTGTTACACATAGAATTCAGATTCTAAAGTTGTTTTGCCTAATTTAAAATAGCCGGAGTTACTCAAACATATTTTTGTGGTTCGACAAAGGAATGAATTGGAATAAGCAATGTTTACAATTAACAATGCTTAACTGACCAATATTACACTATTCGCTAATTAACAAATAAGTTCTGGCTATGAAAGATACTATTATTAAAGTTCTAATTTTTATTTAATTGATTTCAAAATGTTAATAAAATTGCATGAGAGATAACTAATGACGACACAATTTTGTTTTTTTTATAACTACTATTAAGTAGGTATTATTATTGTGTTTAGTATAAGAAAATTTAAAATTTCTAACACAATGTAATTTTTTGATGAATATCGTATATATGTATAAATATCATACAATCAAATCGCTTTCGTTAATATCATAAACTATACGGTGGACGTTGACCCTCAAAAAATCAATTAAGTGTTATTAGTAGCCAAAGTAACAAGAAACTCGAGAATGATTAGATCGTTATAGATTATTTTATACTAGCTGACCCGCGCAACTTCGTCTGCGTGTCTCAAGTAATAAATTTTCTCCGTTTTTGAAACATTCTTCATTGGTGCTCCGCTCCTATTGCTCTTAGCGTGATGATATATAGCCTATAGCCTTCCTCGATAAATGGGCTATCTAACACTGAAAGAATTTTTCAAATCGGACCTGAGAGTTCCTGAGATTAGCGCGTTCAAACAAACAAACAAACAAACTCTTCAGCTTTATAATATTAGTATAGATATAGGAGGCAAACGAGCTTACGGGTCACCTAATGGAAAGTGACTACCGCATAGATAACTTCTTGTGAATGTAAGGGCCAGCGCAGACCGAGAGGAACGCAGCGGAGAGGATTTTTTTAGACACTCGATAATAAAGTTTAAAACGATTGGTCTAAAGTGCATACATGATTGAATATGACAAAAAATATTTGCGCAGCCTCGAGCCATGCGTAGGCACTTTATAGCATTAGTTTTAAAGATTGCGCTCCTCTCGGTCTGCGCTGTCCCATACAGTAGTTTAATCTAGTATTCCGTCAACAGACATGACCATAAAGAGTGCACTATGGGCCATATAAGTCCTTTAAGGTAAAGATAAATATAGCAAATAATGACATTTTGCGCCTGAGATATCGACGAAACAATGTTTCAATTTTTTTGACAATGTATCATCATCATCAACAGCCTATAACAGTCCAATGCTGGAAATAGGCCTTTCCTAATATTAGGGGAGCCTTGGAGGGATTTTAGGATTTACTCGAGCGTGTCAGATTAAGATAGGAGGAATACCTCACAACCAGTTGTGTACCTCCACCATACATGATGATGTACTTAGGGGAGAGCGTCTAGGGCAGCCCATTAGATTAATTAAAAAAAAATCGATGGCGAGAAATACTCGAATATGTAAGATTAAGGTAAGTTACAAGTAAAATGGCCTATAATTGCATTGCAAAGATTCTTAAGTGTTTTCAATATTTATTTATGATAAAAAGTCGCAAGGATAAGTATATCTGAACGCACTCGTACGACTTACAACTAATTGAAAATCACTAATACTTAATACAAGTATTGTCTTGTGTAGTTACAAACACGTTTAGTATAGTTACAAAGCAGACAGTGCATATTAAAGTTTACTCACAACAGACGAATTCATTGTGCAAATGAAGCAGAATCCTTTTTAGGGTTCCGTACCTCAAAAGGTAAAAAAGGAACCCTTATAAGATCACTTTCTTGTCCGTCTGTCCGTGTGTCATCGCCGATTTTCTCAGGAACGGGTAGACCAAGCAAGTTGAAATTTATACCAGATACTGAGGTCTATGGTCCCTATTAGGTGTATTAAAATCAAGGTTCTGAGTTAACACGATAAAAAGCTATGGGCAAATTTCGATTTTCACGACAACTTGTAAGTACCAAAGTTTACCTTAATTTTCTACATTTTTTTTCTTTTTTTTGAATTTTCTCTTTACTTGTGCTATAAGACCTTGCTTTTAACCAAAATTGACAATGCTAGGTCAACCGGAAGTACCCTATAGGTTTGAGTCGAAAACCTATATGGTAGTTCCCGTTGACCTAGAATCACGAAATTTGGCGAAAAGAAACGTCTTAGAGCACAAATAAAGGAATAATTACAAAAAATAAAAAAAGTTAAAATTAAGATAAATTTTGGTACTTACAAATTTTCGCGAAAATCTGGGCAGGTACGGAACCTTCGGCGCATGAGTTCGGCTCGTACCTGACCGGTTTTTTTTTAAAACGTTTTAATTTTTGCTCATAAAAGCGAAACCATATTATTAAAACAGCTTGCAACGCATCGCGTGGTGAATCGAATCAAATCGCATTATTTTTTTGTCTACAAACCACTCGCCATTTGATTTGACTAACAATTCAAAAAAATCTAATTTATGTGCTATTTAAAAAATTGAGAACCATATCTTAAAAAATCGATTCTAAGATGAAAATATACCTAATATTAGGAATTTTGTACAATCATATAGGTTTTACTCGTCCTATTTATCCAACATACTTTATTTTCCATGTATAATATTACTAAAGGAACATGCAACACAACACACTAGGTCACAATAGGTACATTATCTTAAAATAAAGAATATCAAAACATCAAGGTATCAAATACACATGATGATATCATGTAACTGGATCCCAATAAAGATTTGAATGTCTTTCAATAAAACCAGACGAGAGCAACGATTGATTAATAAAACGAGATCAGTAACAATTGATTTCGAATTGACACTCTCACGCAAACTGATGGGAACAATTAGATAACTATACCTTAGAATTATAAATCTGGCTCTTAAATGAGATGTAATAAAGTCCACAACTTATTGTTAAATGTCCTAAAATGCGTTGACCACGGTTTCGACATAGGCTTTAGGCTCAGTGCCATCGACTCGCCCTGCGAGATCACGTTAATTTTATTCCAGTACTGATAACTTCAGCGA